ATCTGAGGCAAATCTGTATAACGTTAATCATTGCTCGGTGCTTCCTTCATTAGGCTAACTTGGATCCACACCATTTATGAATGAAATTTTCACATTGTACCTCTCTCTGCCTTGTTTTAATAGTCTCTTTATAATCTATTTCACTTTGTCTCTTCATGATTTTCAGAACAATATAAACAGAAATAAATATTTGTTTGTAAAATGACATTCTCTGATAATACTTTGTAAAAAGCTATGGTAAACACAGAAGTTTTGCCCTCAAAGATGGCGTCTCCGGGGAGGTCACGTGACACTGTTTTGCCTGTGGGAACTATAGAATTTAATTAAACAAAACATCCAGCTTTCTTTCGAAGTGTAAATGTGCTATTTTGTGTTCTATTTCTAGGAATTTGCTAACTTACGCATTCAATTCAAATGAATAAGGTTAGTGCTTTGCTGTACAGTAATTGCCCTGAATTTTATGGCCTTACATTATGCTAGCACAAACACAGCGACTTACACGCTTACTTCTCTCTCACTCTCGCTCTCTCTCTCAGCAGCAGTACGTTACTCTGACAATGACAACCACGAGGAGAAGTTATTGAAAAAAACAAAACAAAAAAACACTGAAGACATGACCAGTCTACTTAGCGGCGGCTAACACTAGCTACGTTTGCAACAACATTTTCACCGGAGGAAGAGGCAAACGCTTAAAAATATAAACACCAGGCAAAAATTGTTACCAGAGCTAGTAGGCTACCATAGGGTAGGCTACCATAAAAACGTGGGATTTAACGTTACTGTGTTAGCATTAGCAACGTCGGGAGAAAGATTTAATTTCCCCCCGTTTCTACAAAATAGCTATAACATTAACAACGTTAAACAAAAGATCGTTAGACCGTAAAAAAAAAAAAAGTCATTACCGTATTTGTCCCAGCCGAATCCATGGTGGTGGTCACTGGTCACGCCAGTCGGCCCGCAGCAGCACACCAGTTTCAGAATCCCGATTCCCAACGCCAGAACCGGAAGCAAGGTGCGGAGTTACGTTCTAACCAACAACAGCGCCAGGCTCGTAAGTAAGGGGCGGAGCTTAGGTTTGAAACCTAATAACGCCACCTTACGTAATTTTTGGAGGGTATTTTTGGTATTTTTACATATGAATCAGCTTTTTGAACATGAAACCTGTATGTGTTACATTACAGTAAGCATTTTAAAACATTGATTTTGTGTAATATAATTGAATAGTTTCAGTTATCCGTTTCATTGTATTATGAGTTAGGCTTACTTCCTGATTATGATGGTGAAAAAAAATAATACTTGAAACTTATGGGCATTTTAATCATAATCGTGTAAAAATGTCTCATCAGAATAAAAATTAATCAAGCGTCAAGCAGTCATCCTACCAGCAGCGTCTCGGGTTGATTGATGCGCAGGGCATCCGAATTGCGTTGTATTTCTCTCTCATACCTCATAACTTCCAGTTACAAAGTTTTCCCCTTTCTTCAAAGCTGGAAAACCCTGCAAGCGACAAGCGCTGTTCTCATATTGTTTCGGCCTGTGTTTGGTCTCTAATGCGCTCTGAGTCTGAGGAATCAATCTTTATCAGGTGCGCTCGCAATTAGAGTTCGGCTTTTTCCGACAGATGCCGGATGACGTCACCCGGAAGACGGCGCTCTTCGTACCTTTCCGTAACACCATCTATGACAATCAATTCGGCAAAACCGAAAGAAAATTCTCTTCATTAATTTCTCAAGTAATATTTACAATAACAAATACGTGTTTGACTTCACAGTCATCTTTTACCTGCAATAAGAGATGTTATGCAAGGTCAGCAATAGTCTTCTGTGTGAAATAGAGTATTTTACTCTGAAGTTTATTTTGAAGCAACATATCTCTAGTACATTTTTTTTCTTTAAGTAGTCAAGTTCTATTTCTCCCCTGATTTCTATTTTTTTTTTCAAAATACTCTATTTTCTTCTTTTAAGGACTCATAGGGAACGAATTTCACCTGTGTCGTTTGTCACACATGCCTCATGCAACAAATAAAAAGGAAAAGTTGTCCACCTCTGTATCACTGCTTTGTACAGACTCCTCTGTAGGCCTTTCTATATGTGGACTCCTGTCAGGTGCAAGTGGGAAGAGTTATGCTCATAGATTTTTCTTCCTAAAAAACAAACAAAAAATTAAAGCTGCAAGCAGCGATGGGCGGGCCCTCGCACCTGTAGCGCGTTGGGGTGTGAGACGGCCGCGTTGCATATTGTACAGCTCAGCCGGTGCGGCTGTGAATTTGGTTCGCTGCTTCGCTAAAGGTCACTTCCTGTTGCCAGCAGGTGGCGCTATGACTTAGGGTGAATGTCAGCATGTAGATTTGTTCAGGGCAGGACTCTTGTCAAATGTGTAAAATTTCGTGCAGATCTGGGCATTTACAGCCAAGTTACTACAACTTCCTGTTTCATGGCGAATCATCGCCGCCACGGACACGCCCATTGAGGAAAACGCGCAGATAGCACAACTTTTCATCGTCAATGCCTTTAGAAGGCACAGTAGAAATTTGAAGTCGATCCGACTAAATCCCTAGGAGGAGTTCGTTAAGTACGTAATGAGTAAATCATCCCAAAATGGCGGTAAAATTAGAAATGGCCGACTTCCTGTTGAGTTTAGGGCATCGCTCCAAGAGACTTTTCTGTGCGTGTGGACATGGTAGATGTACCACAGAAATTTCGTACATGTCGTTCAATGGTGCGGCTGGGGCTGCTTCATTAAAGGTAATTTCCTGTTGCCACTAGGTGGCGCTATGACTGAGGGTGAATGTTGGCATGTAGATTTGTTCAGGGCGGGACTCTTGTCAAATGTGTCAAATTTCGTGCAGATCTGGGCATTTACAGCCAAGTTACAACAACTTCCTGTTTCATGGCGAATCATCGACGCCACGGACACGCCCATCGACGAAAACGCGCAGATAGCACAACTTTACAACGCCAATGTCTTTAGAAAGTACAGCAGAAATTTGAAGTTGATCCGACTAAATCCCTAGGAGGAGTTCGTTAAAGTACGGAGTGTGTAAATCGTCCGAAATCGGTCACCAAATTCAAAATGGCAGACTTCCTGTCGAGTTTAGGGTATGGGTTCTTGAGGCTTTTTTGTGCATCTTGATATGATACACATCCCCACCAAATTTCGTGCATGTAGGTTGAACGTGGACGAGGGGCTAATTTTTTCCAATTTTGTAGGTGGCGCTAGCGAGCCATTTTGCCCCGCCCATCCGCGAAACCCACAAAATACGAAATTTTTCACCAGTCCTGACATGCATGACTTTTTCCGCATTTTGCGGCCCCGAAAATGGCGCTTACTTTGCAGAAAAAAGAAAAAAAAAATAACCCTAACAGTTTCAATAGGGTCCTCGCACTGTTAGTGCTCGGGCCCTAAAAAGCAAAAAAAAAAAAAAAAAAAAAAAAATACAACTTACAATGTAGACTTACAGAACCACATTTTCAACATTTTGTTTATGAGTCATTCAGATAAATCTCCAAAACCACTGAACTGTGTGTGTGTGTTTACATAAAACATTAATTTCAGAATAATTTTTCCTCATTCAGAGAAATGAACTGTGTGTGTGTGTGTGTGTGTGTAAGAGAGAGAGAGAGAGAGAGAGGGGATATCGATCATTAGCTCAGTAGTATTCACTGGCTTTGAGATAAATGTCAACTACGAGAGATTTTCTATAGTTGCTGATTTTTGCTAGTTTTCTCCCTGGTCACCTAAGTGTGTATGTGCATGTACTGGTGTCTGATCACACTCACTGGAAGTGCTAGGTTGTGTGGAAGCCCTGCAAAATGTCTCCACCTCTTTTTGTCTTTTCACCATCATCCAGTGTCTTTTCTTCCATTCTTTTCTGACATGTCTTTGCTCCCTGTCAGATTCACTGATACTCTTTCGTTCTTCCTTTCTTTTCTTATTTCTTTCCTTAAGTATTCCTCGTACATCACTGGGTCTTCCCTCAACCTTTGTTTGCATCCCCTTGTCTCTCTGTTGTAGTTTTTCTATTTTCTTTTAGGCATGTTGTTGTTTTATGTCATTCCCCCTGTCAAGTTAATCATAGAAATTAACATTACTGACAACAACATTGACATTGACACTGACATTCCTTAAAGTTACACACAGATCACCTCAAAATGATGGGATCAATCTACTCACCATACAGTACACGAGAGAGAGGGACATGAATATTTCCTGATCAAAAATGTAGGGGTGTGGTTAAATGATGATTTTATAAAGCTTACTGATATCTTAAATATCATTGTGGGTTTCAAAAGATAATTGAAGAATAAACAGCTAAGATTTTAAGCATCCAATTTTGTAGAATGGCCCATATAGTCAACAAATTCAAACTTTGATGTCTACGTTGTGTAATCGGTTAAGAACAAATGTGCTGAAAATTTCGATATGTGTCAAGTTCAGTCTTGAAACTTCAGAGGGCGCAGGCTGATCGGTCCTTTGCATGCAATCTGTATTCATATCATACCGCATGGCATGGCACAAGATGATTGGCCTCTGCTGATCTTGAGCCAGTCATTTATTTAGTGCTCAACATTTAAATTGTCTGGTTCAGTGTTTGTTGCTTAGGATAGACCTACAGCACTGTACCCAACCCCCCAGTCCCACATTTTGTGACTATGGCCTTTACAAGTTATTGGCCAAGGCCAAACTGTGAAACATCTTTTTTTTCAGACTTTTGTTTCATAACATGGAGGTTTAACCATCACATCCTGTAAACATAAAACTGAGATAACGTACTAACTTTAACCTTGGTCATGTCAAGGCAGATTAACCGGTCAACAGCCACCCCTGTTACAAAAACAAAACAAAACAAACACACACACACACACACACACACAAAAACTTTTAACTATTATAAGAATTCTACTTCTATTACTTCCCTGACTTTTGCTTGACCAGCTCACTTTGAAGGCTTTTGATCATGGTGACGTGGATTTGCAATGAATCAATAATTATATGAATAATTTAAAGATGCTCTTATCTTTTAATACAATACTAATTAATACAATGCTAAATCATAAATCAGATGTACCTATGTACAATAACATACTGAAGTACTGCAATCGATTTAAATATTACATTGTGTTTAATTTGTCAGTACAGTTCAGTGATAATTCATTCATTAATCCACCTCTCCATAACAGAAAGACTATGACCCACATCACTGGTTTAAAGAGCCGCACGAGGTTTATGAGCAATGACTCTAAACCACTAGAAACTTGAGACATAGAAACAAAGAAAAGAGAAAAAAAGACAAAAAATATGCATATCCAACATCAATCAGTTGCTTTGAGTTTTTCATTTTATCAGTATCAAAGTGTTGCTAAAGTACACATGACTCATTTCCTGAACTTCACATAATGTAAGCTAAATAATTAGCTTATTTTTTACAATAAGCCGATAAGTTTACCACACATATAATTTAAATCATATATAATAGATTTACAAGTTATAATACACACAAATTACTTACAACATTAAAAGTGGTGTGTTCATTGGTTTTAAATGTTAGGAAGTCAGCTGAGTATGGTTTGAGAATGTGAATGTCACCTTTAAATAACACAAACACACTATAAACAGTATTATTTACACTCTAGAAATTAATTACATATTTTATGAGAGGAGTCCAAGACGTTTCTTGATGAAATGAACCACAAGGCGCTGCGGTCTCTGCTGATATTCCAGAAGAGCATCATGAGGTGAAGAAATCTGATCTCCCTCAAACCTGTTCAGCAGAGTCACACACACCACTGCAGCTGCAGAAAAAAAAAATATATCATGCCATTGACCACTTTGAAGTAGTTTTAAGGTAATTCAATGCTGCATAAAGTGAGGCATACAAAGCAGTACTACAAGGCAGGACTATGTGCTATACATAAGGGTTAATTCAAGCGAAGATAAAGTTCTGTTGTAAGATCTTAGGCAGAATGTCCAAGACTGACATGCACTGTAACCGTTGATCAATCATGCGTGCAGAGCGTCCTTGCAGCAATGCGATAATAGGATTCCTATTATTATTATTAGGGGCCAAGCACCGAAGGTGCAGAGGCACCTATTGTAGCTGTTAGCATTCCTATTATTATTATTACTATTCTTCCTTCTTCCGACTGGGAGTCTATGGCAGCCCATAACCACTTACAGGAAAGTTGTAACAGTTTAAAATTCTGAAAGAGGACAGTCCCAACATCAAATACACGAGTAATTACGCGGGTTTGTTTATTTATTTTTTAATCACTTTCACTCAAGAAATGCTAGCTGGCAACAAAGGATTCCATTCATTGTGCTAAGCTAAGCTAGCGCTGACCCTGTCAAACTAAAACAATGCATGCACTGAGACAAAAATGCATTTGCACACATATCTAAATGTAGGAAAGAATGAGAATAAGCAATATTTCAAAAAAAAAAAAAACGGTGGAGTGTTCATAGTGTTTTAACAACTCAGTTGAGGGATAGTAGCAATTATTCAACATTGGCTAAAAGCAAATCAAACTTGTAATCTTGTGTAAATAAATCATCTTTTTTTATATACTTCCATTATTAGTAGTGTTAATGATTTGGGGTTTGTTAAATGTTTTAATGTTTCATGTTTTTTTTTTTTTTTTTTTTTTTTTTTTTTAAATCATTACTTAATCATGGAGAAGTTTTTATTGGTTATAATATACTGATGTATGTTTGATCAATTGTGGATGTTTTTATTTTAGGTTGCCATTTTAAAAGTTTGCAAGGTGGAACGGTTAGCCTGTTGGGATAAATCTGGCTTATTTAAAATGTATGACTGTTGATTGATGAGCACTATCTCTTATTTTTGTTTATCCCCCTAATAAGCAGCCCAAAGGCAACAGACAAAGGCGGTTCTCCGTTTCTACATTTTGTAAAAAAGAAAAAAGAACAAAGAAACATCATGCAATTTTTAACATGCAATAAAATCATTCCTATATGTCAATTTATATATCAATCATGGTGGCTGTGTAAAATGACTCTGGTGTGTTATAGTAGTGTTGATGACAACAGACAATCTAAATTTCTGTACCTTTAAGATTGCAGACACGACACATGGCAGCAAAGACAGTGGATTCCATCTCAATGTTCCTGACGCCTGCCTCGTTGGCTTTCCTGAGATATTCAAATTTTTCTTCAGTGGAAAATGAGCACAGGGCACCATCCAGTCGCCCCTGACCTATACAGGAATAGCAGGTTATGTATGTCACTATATGAAAAGAAATATCCTTTAAGTGTACTTCAAAAGCACATAAATCCATCGATCCATCTATTAATCGTATTTGAATGCTTGTTTGCGAGTACCCCTGCTGTACTGTAAATCCAGTCACGGTTAAAGCAGTTGTTAGGCAAGTCTGACATTTAAACTACGGTTATGGGTGACACACACAGTATAGCTGGTGAACAGATTTGGCATAACTACTTTACTTCATTGATACAACTATATTGTATATTTTAGTATGGCTAGAACACTGTATTGACCAATCAACATCCAGTGCCGAAACAATCAGGTTTTTTTGTATCGGATTTTTACATTCAGCAACTTACATTTCATTCAGTACATTTGATTGAGTTCATGCATTCACTGGGAATCAAACCTATCTTGGCATCACTAACAACATGCTGTACTGTTTAAGCTGTATACAGGACCAAACCCAGTATGGGCTAATAAATAAAACAAAGTATAAAAACATTGCAGTACCTTCGTAGAAGTCATGTGTGCACATTGTGTTTCCAATAACAGTAGGAATATCTGGAAGCTCTGAGGAATACTGCAGGAGCTCTTGGGCTACATCTTTATCCAGCTCTGTGCTCCTGATAATAACCTTTCCCAAAACCACCTGCTCAAACTGGGGCCTGAAGAAAGAGTCCACAGCTTTATCTGTGATCACTACGGTCCCTGCAGCCAGACCTGTGTGTTCAAACAAACAGCAAACATTTACTAGAAAGTAGAAAACCCACATACTTCATGTCCCCCTTCATCCAGCAGTTTTAAATTTCATATGTAATGCTTTGATTCATTTTTGAGTCCATTTCCTCAGGGTGATGTATTTGTGCTTCATAACTCAATGATTCAATATTAAGCAGGAAGTACTCACCAACTCCACCTGACGTGCCAATGCGAAAGATGATGACATCACGACAACGAGCATGATAGAGCATTTTAATGAGCTCATGCAGCATGATGGAGATGGAGGGAACGCCCATGCCATGCTGTCAGAGACAAAACGGAGGAGAATACATCAATTAATATGCAAGTGAAAAAATATAGCCCACTGCAGATTATGATTGATGCTAATGATTACACGTTTCATCCAATCAATAATTGTTGGAAGTATATAGCTTATGCATATATCTATACAATACATCTGACCACAAGTTCTCCACACACACACACACACGGAGAGAGAGAGAGGGATCGATCATTAGCTCAGTAGTATTCACTGGCTTTGAGATAAATGTCAACTACCACTTGATAATATTTATCCTGTATACAGTGAAAGGCTCCTACAGTACATTAACCTACATCACATGATCTTCATAAAAAATTTCAAATCAATTTACAGGTATTTATGATGAATCATAAAGCGTCATCAGGATTTCAGACACTCACACTAATGGACAGCACAGGTCCCACTTTATACATGGAGTATCGGTCCGTTCCCTCACAGATATCTCTGATGTCTGCAATGTTTCCGGGCAGCTCCAGCTGCTCATGGATGAACTGGGCAAAAGATCTCATCCGATTGGGACTTCCGCCAACACAAACAAACTACAGAAGAAAAAAACATTGCTAAATGAATCACTTTCCAACCAAAAGTAACATTTTCCATTCAACTATCTGATGTTGCTTTTGTTTTGCTCTGTGTACTTTTTTTGTTTTGTTTTTTTCAAGATTTGTCCTTTACTGGTATAACATGTAGCTCAAGAAGTCTTAAATCACACAATTCAGATGTATAATTTCAGCTATTCTAAAATCTTGGTTTAATGGAGAAGAAGATAAGAGATCTAATTCATGGATCTAAAGCGCCATGCCCTTTTTTGGAATAATACCCTTCTGTTGTATGTCAGTAATCCTTTAAATTAAAAGGTGTATTTACTTCCTGTAATATTTTTAATGGTAAAAGACAAGATATTCTATCAGAATATTTCTTACCCTATAACTTGTGTTCAAACTGTTGTAATTGATTCAACAAAATAATTCTGTCTTAAATAAATATGAATTAATTTACCATTTTATTTTCTAAATTATAAATGAAAATATTGCACAGATCATCAGATCCCCTTTGGGATGACACAAGAGGATTTTGATTTTGTAATATTGACAGGCTGACTATACTGTACATCAACCATAATTTTCATCAATCATCCTCTAAAGACTAAAGACTATCTTTCTTCAAGATTATTACATTTATCTGCTGTCTAAGGCTAGGGCTAAATTTGAAAATGCCATTATCGTTTCAAAACTCTCTCCATCCAAGGATTTTCATGCATTTTCCAAAAGTTGCTCGTCCGCACTGAAACTTACTATTCATGTGAAAGTTATAATAAAAGCTTACTTAGATGATACCGAAAACCAAACACAATAAAGTTCTCATGCTATGCTCATATCACAATATTTTTATTAGCAAAATATACCACCCCTCAATGTTGCTTCCAGGTCGCAATCAATCGCTATTCCTTGTATGGTCTTGCTATGGACAGCAATGTAACGCATCTGTCATTTTTGTAGTAATTGTAACATGAAGATTGAATAAAGTAACGTCTATTTTTAACAACATTATGAAAGTAAAAAGCCTAACTCATGTCTGGTTAGGACTTCTATACACACCTTCACATCCCCAAACATTTGGGGCAGGTCATGGGTCTTGGTGCCAAGGTTTAAGTGGTAGAGTATGTCTTCTTCCATGCTGTCCAGGTGAGGGTTTTTCACATACTCCACCTGTCTGTGACACATCACTGTTATTGCTGCTGACTAAGAGAATTTAGACTGTTAAACACAAATATTTCAAATGTTTCATATAACACATGACATTCATGAAGTCGTCAAGATCAAGTGTAAAAAACAGCAAACGTAAAAACTGTTTTACTCAAAAAGTATCAATCTAATTTAAAAAAATGAGAAAAAATATTTAAAAAAAATAGTTATAAATAGATTGAAATCAATGACCAAAGCAATGTTTTCATTAAAATAGCTTTACATTTTCTCAATATCCTGACTATAATATTAGACATCAGAACCGAAACCCATGCAGTATATCCAAAGACCCCAAACATGAAGTCTTTACACATTCATCAACCAGATATTGTCCAGTTAATCTGTTAAAGATGTGTGCTTTCTGAGTAAATGAAAGTTATCTTACTGAATGTAACTGCTGTGTTCATTTCCAATGTTCAGTAAAATAGGCGCCATGATTGCAGTTCTCGATAATCTGCAAAAGAGCGGTAAATATAAATTCATTATATATTCACATATATAGGAAACAGAAACATGCAGAATTTATTCCATTTTTGTACCTGGCAGCAGTTGTATCTTTCAAGAAAATCCTTTAATCCTGTAGTTCTACTGCTAACTTTTACCCCTTTACTATGCGGACCTTTGCGTCATCAGGACTTTTGTAGAATAAAAATGTGTCTCACTAAGACAGGCTCTTATAAAGAGCTCAGTATCCTCTGATTGGCTATAGAGGTAGGTGTAGCACCTGCTCCCTCTGTCTCCACATGGTTACTGATCTCCTTTCATATGTTAACAAATAGACTTATGCTCTACAGAGAGATTCAGGACTGCGCCAACATCAACACAGTTCAATAAACAGTCAAAGAAGTGTGTGCCTGGTTTGATGTACATGTGTATGTGTTTAGCTTATCTAAACATAGCTTACATAACTTTATCTTGTGTCCTGCACCTTCACCACCCCATCATCTGCTCCAACCCATCGATTGAAAATAAAGTTTTAAAATGTCTGTTTTGTAAATAAAAATAATGCGCATAGTTGTGTACATTGATAGATCATAAGGTGACTGCACCAGTGTTTGAATGAATAAGTTACAATCAATAGTGCTAGCAAAGCTAAATACTAAAATTTAATATTGTTCGTTAATTTAAGAAAATATTGACATTCAGTGCAGAGGGTGTGCAGTTCTGTGCAATTCACTGCAGTTCTTTAGTTCTGTTTAGTTTCAGTGTATTTTAGACTGGTTGCTCATTTGCCTGTGTTCATTTATTAATTCTAAGCCTGTTCTGCTTTCCATTGATTACTCCTGTGTATTTGAACCTTTAAAGGAGTAGTTCACTTTAAAAAAACAAAACAAAACTTTTGCTGATAATTTACTCACCCCCATGTCATCCGAGATGTCCATGTCTTTCTTCAGTCGAAAAGAAATTAAGGTTTTTGATGAAAACATTCCAGCATTTTTCTCCATATATAATGCACTTTACTGGTAACCAAATGGTTCAAGGTCCAAAAGACCGTTTCAGTGCAAACTGCAAACTGTTCAAAGGGCTTTACGATGATGATGAATAAGGGTCGAAACGATTGGTAATTTAAAAAAAAAAAAAAAAGTTTTATAAGCTCAAATGGTCGCATTGCTCTGTTCTGTGATGCGCGGTCGTGACTCTCCTGTTCGAATTCGTTCATCAAAATGAATGAATCTTTTTCCGGGTCAATTCATTCAATTCGTTCGTTGAATGAACCAAATGACACAAAAAGATTTGTTCATTTTGATGAAGGAGTTCGAACAGGAGAGTCACGAACGTGCATCACAGAACAGAGCAAGGCGACCATTTGAGATTATAAAACTTAAACTTTGTTTATTTATTTATTTTTTTTTTTTTAAATGAGCGATCGTTTCGCTTATTCATCGTCTGGAAACGTTTAAATCCAACGCATTCTCGTTAAATCGATGTTTATTAAAAGTTAGTTTCTTTGTAACGCTTCTTTCTTGGTGAATTGCACTACCACTAACCCCAGACAAGAACAAGATTTTTTTGAGCCGCCCCCTTTATTGCCGGTGAGGAGGACATCACCAGCTGTTTCCCAAACGGCAGCACGGATTAGGACAACTGATCATAAGACCAATTAAAAATTTCTTCTGAAAGACCTTACCATGATCTTCACTTTAGAATTAATTAATTTTGCATTATTCACATTAATTATGAATCTGTATTTAGTAGTTGAGATACATGAAAAAAAAAAATTATTGATTAGATAGTGAACTATTACTTAATAATTTAATTATCACAGTTTCTTGTTATAGTTTTTCTGAATTGCTAAAACACATTTCTTGAAACCATCACTCACTTTCTCTATCTGAAAAATCAAACAATGCTTTCAGATCATACACAGCGAGTCAAAATTATAAACACAACAGATCATTCATTAGACATCACGTTAAAAATTGGAGAAAAAAAAATATTTTACAGAAAGAGTGATTTATTCGACAAATTGGTTTAGGTTATTGATAATTTTGTTCAGAGAATGGGGTTAAGTCTGATTTATCAATTCAGAAACACTGTAATACTTCTAGAATGTTCATGTCTATAGTTATTCATTAACAATGGAACAGAAATCTAAAGTGTTACCCAAATTTGTTGGCACAGAACAGATTATATATTAAACTCTTTCAGCCATAGAATAACCTTTATTTCTTAAAGCTACAACCTGGAAGATTTATTTTTTTTTTTGTTAAAATGAACAAAATTCCATTGAGCAAGTAGATTAAAAACGAAGTGAAAAAACAAGATTTCTAAGATTTAAACACGTTGTTTAAATGGTATGTGTATATTTACCTCTATCTGCACACTGCACAGGGTTTTGCAACAGCTGTTCAATAGATTACACATTAAGTCAAAGCAAAAAAACACGAATTTGAAAAGCACACTGTGTACAGTAGGCCTACTCGTCACAATATCACCCTAGTTTGGACTTGTTTTCTGTTTTGCATCATTAGTGCCACTAGTGTCGTAGTTACTGATTTGACTTATCATCACTGTCAACTATGTATTAAAAGAAAGAACAGAGCCTCTGCTTTAAAAAAGTTTTTAATTCTAGCTTCATACATTTTTTTTAATTAAAACTTAACTGTGGGTGAGATTCATAAAAAAAGCAACATTTTGAGAAAAAAAAACTGAGAAAAATGCATTTTTGTCAAAGACAGCAGGTTGGATTCAGCATGGTGATCAAAACATAGATGGAGTAGATTGTCTAAGTCTAAGGTTGCAAAGTCCTATACCAGTTCCTGGGTCAATATTTCATTCATTAACTTTAGGCAGTTTTGATTCATGGTATTTAATGCGGATGATCATGTTATTTTACATATGCATATTACATATTCTATCGCTTGCTGCTTCTTCTTCATCTGTGTTTTGATCAGGAGATTCAGGGGGGGGGGGGGGGGGGCTAGCCTCATTAAACCCATAATAAATCATATGTCATATTTAACTGTACCATACAGAAATTGAATAAGGTCATAAAACTGACCGCACTGCATAAATTATGAATGAAATATAGATTAATCATTATCAAAGCTATAAGCATTCTTTAGTCAAGTGCAGTTAATAATTTCTGCTCTCTTATGTCTCGTCGCGCAGAAATGGTTTAAACATTTGCGTCTGAATAAGAGCGTGATCATAATCCTAGCTAAAGGATGACAGAAAGAACGGATGGACACTGCGTTAATTGCCATATTTTATAACGTTAAAGCTGGACAAAAAATAAATAAATAAAAAAATAAAAAAAATCGCATGCGTTGACAGCACAGGTCATACATTACTGACAGAAAATACTGAGAAGTGGATTCATTTTCATGGTAGGCCTACACAGAATGTTTTTTTTTTAGTAAGCTAACGTTAACGTTACACAGAATGTTATATTTAGCTAATTTCCTGAATCAACCAACTCCTTACTTTTTTTTCATCCATGATGACATTAGTCAAGTTGTTTCTGGCGTTTCATCACTGACTGTCGCAATCTATTTTTGTAGTCGATGTCGATGGTCGCAATTTATTTCGTATCTTCTTCTTCTTCTTTCAAGTTTAATGGCAGTTGGCAAACCGCCACCTACTGGATTGGAGTGTGGACAACAATGTTAGTAACGACCAAAACCCTGTTAATTAAATGAGTGTCTTTTAAAAAATGAAATAGTAATTAATATATTTTAAATTGCTTTGGGCCATTCCCTAATAATGCTTTGATAGAAAAAAACTTCAATTTCCATTTAACTTAATAATTGAAACAATTTAAATCTTTCAATCTCCTGGACTGAAGCAGAGGCTCTACTCTTCGATCTCTTGTTATAATTTTATGATCTGACAAATCTTTTGTAATATAATAATAATAATTGTAATAATATATAATAATAATATTTTTATACTTTAATATTTTATTGCTGATTATAAAATCAGCAATAAATTCCCATCAGATAATACCTCGCATTTCTCTAATATAAGACAATACATTAGTGCAATATATATATATATATATATATATATATATATATATATGAAGAGTTCAGATGCAAAAGCCTCTAAATGCCATTTGAAATTTTCTTCTTTAATGATGATTTTTATCAAACTTGTATATTTAAGTTCAGTAATTTCACTTAAATGGCAATTATAATTACCTATTAATTGTTATTTAAGTGAAATTACTGAACTTAAATATACAAGTTTGATAAAAATTATCATTAAAGAAGAAAATTTCAAATGGCATTTAGAGGCTTTTGCATCTGAACTCTTCATATATATATATATATATATATATTTCAGTATATTTATATTACATTATAAACATTACATATATTACATTTTATATTATTATTATTTATTTTTCAGTATATTTATATTTATGTTCCTCAAAGTTTGCAGCGCAGTAATAAATGGTTTTCCACTGAGAATAGCCTACCAATTTGCATGGAAAATATGCTTTTACAAAAAGTCTAAAACTTTAAAAAATAAAATGTTTTATCTGGTCTGAATCAACCGTTGTGTATTTTGTCCACAAGATGGCGTCAGAGCACGCGCTGTGGTTTAAGATTATGAAGCAGAGACGCATGCTTCTTTTTTATTCACAAACATTTTGAAACTATACAGAACATAGATGGGACTAGTCATGTAAATAGTGACTATCAATGACTTTCATCAGTTGTTGTAGGTGTAATCAGGGTATGCCTACTATGGGTGGACTATGATAGCGGTTAGGATCACAGAGTCAGTCCTGGTTGTCCCCACCAGATGACCGTCCTGGCTGTAGTGTGGACTTTTGTGGGCTACTCTTACCTGAAACATTGCTGATTACTAAAAAGAAAAAGACAATTCTGCCCAGGTCTAATGTGTGCTGAATGAACATAAATAGGCTAGAGCACAATTCAATCGCAGGATTTTTAGGGGCTGATCAGCTAACAAACTCTTCTGGGTGTGTCTATGCCTCGATGGGATGTCTATTTCAGGGGGTTTGGCCTCGACTGTTCCCAGACTGCACAATGGTGGGAACCCTGGGAGGGCAGCTCTGCAGTTGGTTGCTATTTTTAAACATTACATCCACAATCTGTCAAGGCCTGCTCCACAGAGACCTGCCACCAGCAGTCTCTTCAAGCCACGGAATTCAACCCGGGACAACTCTCCAGATGTGATGGAAAACATCTGGGCTGAGCTGCAGACAGGCTGAAAGGATCTTTCTCTCACTCGGTTGTACTTTTGTACTAAAAGAGGTGTCTATAGAAATTACATTTCCTAGGGTTTTTAAAACCTCTGATATTGGTGTAATGAGGTTTCTGTTTAGCTAGAAATCTATAGCCTACTCTTACACTTGACTATACTACAACCAATTCACAAGTTGGAAATCCAGTCCCAGATAGAAATGATCCAGTGATGTTAGTCAGTTTGGCAGGGTCGGGTACTTTTCAGGATTGCTTGAGAATGCCTTGTAAACTGTAAACTGAGTCAATTTGTTCATTTTGTTCGTTGAATCAACCAAATGACTCGAAAAAAGATTCTTTCATTTTGATGAACGAGTTCGAACAGGAGAGTCACGGACGCGCATCACAGAACAGAGCAAGGGGAACATTTGTAGCCTAGATAGAAATCTAGACGCACCCTAGCGGCAGCAAAAATTATTTTGCAGTAGGTCTGGCATGCCAGGCTAGAACATTTGAGCTTCTAAAACTTAAACTTTTGTATTTATTTTTTTAAATGACCGATCGTTTCGCTAGATGAGACCCTTATTCATCGTCTGGTGTCGTTTAAAGCCCCTTGAAGCTGGACTGAAACTCTCATTTGGACCTTGAACTGTTTGGTTCCTAATGAAGTCCATTATATGGAGAAAATCCTGGAATGTTTTCATCAAAAACCTTAATTTCTTTTCAGCTGAAGAAAGAAAGACATGGACATCTTGGATGACATGGGGGTGAGGAAATTATCAGCAAAAGTTTTTTTTAAAGTGAACTACTCCTTTAAGTTAAATGTAGATAAAACTTATTTATAAAGAAAATAAAAATGTTTAACACATCCAAAATTATGACTCAATCATCCATGATCACAATACTCAATTATCAAAACAAACTAATTATCTAAAGTCATTTATTTATTGCATTAATTTACAAAAAAAAAAAAAAAAAAAAAAGATTACTTGTCATTTATTACACTTAGTAGTTAATGAAACACTTTCATATTTTGTTTCAGAACAGGTTACATTTAGGCACACAAAATGCATACAACATATATTTTCCACTTTCAATTCAAACTTCTGACATGGAAGAGGAGGAGAAGAGCCCAGAGCTTACTGCATGAAAGACAAACAATGCAGAATTAAAAGTAGCTTCCACAATTGTCCTGTACTGAAGAGGAAGATAATCACTTCCCCTAAACTCTATTAATGTTTTTACTGTGAAATGACAAAAACATCAAGAAGTATAACTGAAGCAGAAATAGTTACATTGGTGGGCCTTGTCTTCAGAAGTTTAGGAGTACAAAAAGTCCACTAAAACTGTGAGAAAATATCACATTAAATACGACTGAAAAAGTATCATCCAAAATCTTGGTAAACAGCATTTACTTAAGGAGAGTCCACTGTTTGCTTTGCATCCAAAGAATGCATTGCTGCTTGCACTCAAAAAAAACAACAACAAAAAAAAAAAACGTGGGTCCGACCTTAAGAAAAAATAAAAATAATCCATTTATTATTAGCAGATGTGATCAACCAAAAATAAAAATGATGCCGCCCACATTCCAGTGGCAAAAAAGCATATAGATTTTGCCAATATACAGCTATAAGACAATACCACCTACTATAATTAGCCTCTTTACATAAAGCTGCATTTACATGAGCAGTTGTAAGTACTTGTAAGTAAAGGGGCACACTGAAGCGACTTAGCAAAGATCGTACCAGCGTTCCGGTTATTAGCGTTCTTCTATGAGGCCTTCCGAAACAAGCGCTCACAGATGGTCTTAACCGATCTAAGTAATCCCAGATGTGAGAACCAAGTCTTCCTGCTGCATGGAGGCATTTCCACATATGCATAATGGTTGTCTAGTTTTTAGGGGAGATCTTTCGAGCATTGGAGATTTCATTATAAATGCAGGCTGTGGACGGTCTTTGGGCCCTGTGAAATCTAACGATGAACTGCATAAATATATATACGAACAATGCAGGAATAATACGCCGCATTTTAGTGACACGTTCAAATTGTGGGGAAGTGGTTTATAAGTGGAATAATGTATGAAAAGAACCAAGTAAGCATTGATAACCATGTTTACATGCTGATTTACATGTTAAAAAGCAGGATTCAAATGATATTGTTTGGCATTTATCATGAAAATGAATCATTATTTGGCTTATAAATAAGAAAGTGTCTACACTATAACATCTACAAGGTCATTTCTTTGTCCTGGGCTAAATGGCACAATATTTTAGATCGCAAAATGCCTTATGATTTGGCAAGTTTTCTAATAAATTACTGTTCAGCACTAGAGAAACAAAATGAGAATAGAACACATCAACCAACCAGTCAGTCTTTCCTGACCACCACCCCAGTGAAAAAGTGCAATCATACATTTTTGAGCTCAGCAAAAACCTTTCAGCATCTCCATTTACATAGTTTCACCCCGAGTATGACAACTAAAATTAGTTGAGCAAAGCATGAGGTGAGATTCACCAAGCAAATCTTCAGCCGATGTCGGCCAGAAAGCGTCTAGTTGTTATCATAGTGTTTTTTTATTGTTATTTCAATTAAAGACTAATTCTTGTGAGTCCCAAGAATTAGGACGAGCGAACAATGGACTTCAATCCAACCATTAAAATCAGGGATGCAGTAAAATCTTTAGAACTGCTGATTTGACTATAGAATAAGAAATGACAATGACAGGATCAACATAATTGCACAATGATTACGGGATTGGGGGAGGGTGAAAAATCTCAGAGATGACCGATCTGACCCCTTCCTTATGGTGACGGAACTGACACTTCCAGAAGGCGGTTGTTTTTACGTTTGCAGGCGACACTGTTGCCGTTCTTTGGTGTACCCTGGATGAATTTTACACACACTTTGTCCTGTTTGAACTGCACTAAGAACCTGAAAGAGACAGAGAGACAACTTATGCTACAAGAACGATACTAAGGAAACAAGACGCACAGAAATGTTGGACACTTACTCATCTGAAATATCGATCTTGATCTGGTTCCTGTCAGCTGAAGCTGCACCGGTGCGATGAAGTTTGGTGATAATCTCAATCAGTCGGTCGCTGCTCAGCAGGAAGTCACCTTTGGCTGCAGACACGGCACCCTAAAGAGAGAGCATGGTCGGTAGTGTTCCTGACTGCCTTGTGTGAGATGAGTTATTGAATGCCGTACCTCTTTGAGCTTAAGAGCGAAAAAGCCATCGTTATGCGTGCTCACAGACACACTGCTGAGGTCTAGCAGAGGAACGCTGGCCTTCACCTGGCCTGTCTTCTGATCCGCAAGAACCAAACTCTTCTTGGTCAGGAGGAATATTCTTGGAGCTCCCTAAAAAGTAAATCAGTAGACTTTAAAGAGTAACTAAACCCTAAATTAACTTTTTTTTTGTTGTTAATGATCTGTAAGAATGGATCTTTATTAATACCAGTCATTGATTCGAGTAACTTTTTTGACATTTGTGTATAAAGTGTTTTATTTCTACAATATATGGTGTAAAAACGTCTTAGTGCTGCCCTCTTCAGGTTGAACGGTGGCTACTGCAGTTGAATTTTCCTATTCGATGTTCTGCACTTCGTGACATAGGCAGGTTTCAGCTCACCACGCTCTTGGTACGAGCTACGTCCTTGGCGGTATAAAAGCCAGCTTGTTTCGTCAAAACCACTGTAGCGAGTCAGGAGTTGGAATTGTGAGTATTGAAAATGATCAGGATCTATTTCGTCCACCCCTCTATCTCCGCTGGGGTCTGCCCACTTTTCAGCATTTTTCAAATATTGTCAGTGGGTGGAGTCAGGCTCTGACCAGGGGTTTAGTTACCCTTTAATGTCAAGTTTAGACAAAAAGGATGAAAATGACCCCCATGATAGCCTTTTAGTTGGTACCGTCAAACAAAATGATGTTTCAAGTCAGTAGGCTTGCTGATGTATCTGATGATTTTAGGAATACATTTCTTCAGTGAAATTTAAAGGGGAAAAAGTTTTTAATATAGACATTTACACACAAAACAACGGAACAGTAAACGTAAAAACATTCTGCAGATGCAAACAGGTAAAAATTCGTTTTTTTGGGTGTATTTTTGTTAAAGTTAATTTTGACTGCGGGCATGTAGTCTTTATTTTTAATGGAAGGAAATGTAAATGTAAAATTAAAGTCAATGTCAAAGAACAAGTGATATTTAAAAAAAAATTCTAAAAAACATTCACCACACAGTATTTTACACTTCCTTACTTTTGTGCAAATGTAGAGATATTTTGCTTTTAGACAATCATTGAAAATTTGTAGAGTGATCCAACTCATCACTTTTTCAAGATTACTTAGTGGTTTTGTGAACGGCACAAATAATTCCATTCACTAGCCTTTTTGGATACCTAGCATCTAAATTTCATGTACCATAACGCCCTTTTACCATAATGACTGGAATTTGGCAAAAAAAAGGGTCTGTATGCCACAGACAGTAAAGTAAGTTTGACTGAAAAATGAAAGATAAGGCATACATTTAATTGATCAGTCCTATTATAAGGTTAATTTTAATTGGCACAGGGATACTTGTACTCACCTTGCCATTGGCACGGTTGATTTTACTGACCACATCTGCAAGAAGAACTCTATCCTCTGCCAAGCTGTTTAGCTTCTGGTACTTTGGGTTTTTGGTTATCTCCACATAGTCTCCTTTGAAAGGCTGCCCCACACTGTAAAGCACAGGACATCGGTTATCGCAATAAATTGCAACACTGCAGATATATGTTTTCTGTTGGTAAATTACACAAAGGAACTGTTTTTCCCCCTACCTGCTAGGATACAAGGCCTTCTTATCTTTGAAGAGTTCACTAGCTGCAAGCTTCTCCTCATAGGTAGCCTTCTTTTCTTCAGTGAACTGGCTGCGGTATTTCTTACACTAATAGAAGGACACCAGGATTGTAAATGCAATGAAAATTATATTTTTAAATTTTTAGCATTTAGTCATTTATTTGTAATAAATTAGTGGGCTATACATTTTATTCATATGCTGAATTATGTTTTTTAAAACATTCAATTGGAGTCTGACATCTGGCTTAATTTATGTCTGATGCATTACAATTGCAAGCAGTATCAATAATGTCAAAAATGTGATGTGCAGTCAAATGTCTTGGAGTGTGTGCAGTTGAAATGAATGTTCTCATATGATACTCTTGTTGTGCTTTGTGAACTTGTAAACATATTTTAGCCAAGGCTGCAAAGCCGACTCCATGTTACAAATATGTTAGACTTATCACTTCTGCCACTAAAGATCGCTTTATAAATAATCTTCCAGATCAGTTTTCATCATCTCAGCATCCCAGATAGCTTAGAAGAACTCGAAAATTGCGACAGCAACTTTTAACTCTCTCCTTTCCAGCACTTCAGACACAGTTGCTCCTTTCCGCTAAAGAAAACAGTCCAACGCCATGGTACAACGAGCACACTTAGGTCCTTAAGAGAGCAGCCAGAAAAATGGAGCACAATTGGAAGAAAACCAAACTAGAGGTATTTAGCATTTCATGGAAAGAGAGCACGATTGAAGAGATGTCTTATCGGGCAAGAGTTCAGTAAATCGGACCACAAGGCTCAGTACTAGGACCGTTGCTGTTCACTCTTTGCATGCTTCCCTCAGGAGATATCATTAGGAAGCATGGCATTAGTTTTCACTCTTATGCTGATGATACTCAGCTCTATATTTCTACACGTCCTTACAAAACTTACCGATCCACAAAATGAACGGAATGCATAGCTGATATAAAAAAATTGGATGACTAGCAATTTCCTACTACTTAATTCTGAAAAAACAGAGATTCTAATTATTGGACAAAAAACGTCATCACGTAATATCCTAGAATACTGTCTAACAATTGATGGCTGCTCTGTCAAGTCCTTGTCGTTGATTAGGATCCTGGGGTGTGCTCTTTGATACCAATCTTTCATTTGAAAGTCACGTGTCTAGTATCTGTAAAATCTAATTTTTTCATCTTAAAAATATATCTAAGTTACATCATATACTCTCAATTAAAAATGGGAGTATATGGCATCATGAACATCAAGCCTAGATTATTGTAATGCTCTACTGGGTGGTTGCCCTGTACGTTTAATAAAACTAAAGCTGGTCCAAAACGCAACATGAGTCATGACAAAGGTCTTATCAGTTAATTGTAGATCTAAAGAGTTGTATAATGACACAAACCCTCCACAGATGGAAAACCCTCTTGAGTTCTTTGTGTGTCCCATCCAGGAAACCATAGGGCCGAGCTGGCCAGCTCTTATCAATCGGAGACATGGAAGTCATCGTCTTCTTCAAGCCAAGGAAGTACTTCTGCATCTGTAGTACAAACTTACATCAGTGTACCAGGGAGTATTTTCTTTCTTCTCCAAAAAATGATTAAATGGAGAACATGTCAATAATTTCTTAGGGTAGTACCACCAACTAGTTTTAAAATGTATTTCTTGCACTGCGTTGGGTCACAAGAAGTCAACTAAATGTGAAAGAAAAGACCTAATTTGCACTCATGGAGTCAACAGGCGAAGAATTCCTCTTTCTGCTGTTATTAGCTTGATATAGTTGGTTACGGCCAAATATATACATGGAATAAAAGTGAAAATAATCATGCAGAAGCACTCTAGTTTTACTATCTCTGGCAAATCCAATGGTTTTTTGATAGCGAATCTTTATAAAGACGTGATACTACACAGTTTGTGGCAAATCATTAGGTAAACATTGGCCTGCCAACTAGTAAGACTACTTTTCTGGATAACTAGGTGACGAGCAAAAAGTATTGGTTAAATCAGCTACGGAAGTCACTTACAATTCTCTGGATGGTGAAGTCATAGATCTTCTTGCCAGCATTAGCTCTGAAGAACTTTCTGTATTCCCGACGGACCTGTGAAAAGGTGGGTTTAAATGGTCACTTCTTTGTATTGAAAATCTTGTGATGACAGCAGGGATGGGACAGGACACTATCAGTTCAGACAAGTGGTGCGTAACAAGCAGGGTCTTAACACCAAAAGAGCAGCAGACTGGAAAGTAAAGATGAGAGAACGGATGCTGTAAAACCAGGAGAGATTTACAGTCATAGTTTTGTACACGACAAATCATTTCACAGAACTTGAAAGGTTCAGACAAAACAAAACGGGTAATGACAGCAAGTTAAAAAACAAAACACACACAAAAAACAACACAAAAAAAGGCCTGTAATGTCTGCACAAGCCAACAGTATATTAGGAACAGCATGCAGACAGCAGACAGGGCAGGCACACAGCAACAGACAGAACACATGGCTGTCCTATGGTTGAGCTACTGGGGCAAAGTTTTCATGTTTACTCATTTCTGTCATTGATAAATCCATGCCATTCTGCTCTGTTATTCAGATGGCATCTCGCAAGCCTGAGTATTGGGATAAAGCCAGGCGTAACCTGCAGATCATTTTACAAGTGACAGCTCATTTAAATACGTCATAATGGCCTGTCCTGCAAAAACTTTGTTTTGGACTGCTTTGGTCAGAGTTTCCCTCCATATATAAATAAATATATATACACACATTTTGTAACAAACACTATAATATTTTATCGGGTAGAAATTGCTATTCGCGAGCAAGAAAATAATAAGATAAAACCGCTTAAATTTAATGTTTATGTGTATACAGAGGGTTGATTGAATTTTTTATGAAAGAATTTTTGTTGAACACATTCATTAAGGGCCTATCATCTTTCAGCAAGAAGTTATAAGGTAGTAAGGGATAACGTTCATCCAGCCGGTGATCCTTTCAGAATAAACCCCCGACAGAGTGAGGTGGACCCCGATACGAAGAGCACGGCGATTTCAAATATTGAATTGGTATACAGTCATACCACTTATTACACAGCATTCCGTCACATACATAATTATAGAGATAAGAGATATTGATTTCAGATTGAATGGCTTTAAACTTGTACCTGTTTGTATCTAACTGTATACAAAATATTGATTTGGCTGAGTTTTAATATTTCATTAGCTCACCAAAAGAAAAACATTCCTAGTAAGCGTATAGCACTGCTGACTTCAGTGACCCTGATGAGCCTGCATTATGCTTTCAGTGGTTGTTATCACACGGCTCCGCTTCACGTTGGTTTATTTTGAGATAAAAAACAGCTGGATGTACATTATCCCTTACATAACATACTGCTGGATGGCGCGATTGACCAATCAGAATCAAAACCACAGGGCAGTGTAATAATAGTTGAATTAAAATGCTGTACTGACAAATTAGCATCCAGGACAAGAACTACCCATTTGATCAGTTCCAATATTTCAAAGGGCGGCCCAGATGTTTGCAGTACACCCCGAACCCCCACTGACCTTGGAACAGCCCCTGACAGAGACCGCAATATCATCAGGCAGCCTCCACCTGACTTATGCCAACAGCTATTTTGCCCAGAGGAAGCTTTTCTAAAGCCATGGATTATGAAAACCGATTTAATTCTGCTTTCTGGAGACACATGCAGTATCTAAAGCCTCGTGGCATGTTTTTAGCACTTCATCCTCGCTTATGACATCAGTGACATGTGTCTTAGATGCTAATGGACCTGTGGAACTATGAGGTTAGATTATATTGTTAGTACATAGCAGAGCAGCTGGTTAAGGACACTTAGAGGCTGGTTAGGTGCCACTCATTTCAAGGCCTGGCAAGTACCAATGGTTGGAAGATACCTTTAGTCCCAACCAGTAGGCCCAAATGACAGCAATGGCGTGCTTACGCCTGGCTTCCTCCTTCAAGCGCTTCAGCTCTCTACGTGCCTGTGGAAAAGGGAGAGGGGCATGAATGCAGAAAGGAGGGAATCAATTGAAAAAAGCGGAGGGCAAAGCAGCAGCATAACACCAGGTCCACGCCACACAAAACTGCACCCCATTACCAGATGGTAAACAACATATTCTGTGTTTGCTGTTGGTTAAGACAGATGGACATTGTTGAGGTTTTCCTGTGGAGAGTACATTTCTTTTCATGGGCTTAACAAAACATGAGCGAGAACAAGGGGAAAAAGAGCAATAAAAAAGAAAGCAAGAGTGCAACTGCTCTCTTAAGGCGCACACCACACAAACACACAATAAAACAAGCCACATCAACCTCAAGAAGGCACTCAGATTGAGTGGGAGAACAGCAGTGCAGGGTGATTCCAACATGCAAAGAGAAGTTCACATGGGATTGTGGATGGAATGAAATTAATTTCCTCATCTATAGGATAAAAAAGTCTTCATCAAGCCTGCCATGAGGTTACTCAGGCAATCAGAACGTTCCTCTTATAAGAAATGAAGACGGTGCAAGTACATCAGTTATAAAGCATTGCAGTTGTAAAACATTGTAGCACTCGTTCACAGTGCAGATGGGCTCTAAAACTTGCATATTGTAGTTGTTAGATTAAATTGAAAATCACTGGTTTATCAACGGTTTTGCAATTCATCAAGTCATATTTATTTTTTAATAACCATGAATCAAAGAATCAGGATATGCAAAAATCCTTAGTGACTGGTCCTTTGTGACACTAGCATAAACATGAAACTATTTGGTATAATTTTAAACTAAATAAAAGTAAAACATCAATTTATTGACTGCTCCTGACCACCCCTCAAGCTGACTATGGTTATTTTTCTTAATGGAAACTAAAATTGATAAAAGAAACATTTTAACTATATTAAAAATTAAAACTGGGGAAAAGGACCGAACTAAAATAAATTAAAATTGAGTCTTAGGTTTGAACGATTTTGAATTTTTTATATAATATCATTTGACAGAGTAACTTTGACAGCCCTAAAATATTAGTAATATTAGTAATAATGATGGGGTGAAGAAACTGACCATATATCTATTATAACTACAATAACTATTCACTGGACATTGCGAGATATGACTAAACATAAGGTGTCCAGACTCACTCTTTGGGATCGGTTTATAAAATGGTGCATTTGGTAAAGACAGAGGTCATCCGGCTGTGATGCAAGCCTGCTGCGTGGGAATCGGCCCGCTCTGCACGGGTGACCGTCTGGATGAGCTTTAATCCATCGGCAGTCAGAGTAAAGAAGCTTAAAATATCGCATTCGGTTCTGCCCCCAATGCAATACCGTTGACCATACTCTCTCTGCTCCCATCCTCTGCCATTCCATCTAATATCTTACAATGAGCTACAATAAAGTGCAAGTATGATTCATGCTGTGGGGTCCTGAATGTATCAGCATGCACAACATAGGATGAGCTCAAGGAAGATGGGTCATGATCCAGTCCACCTCATGAACACATAAAGGTGTGAGATGGGTTAAGTGGATGACGGGACGCCACACAGACATAATGGTGAATACCTTAGTTCCTTGCCAGCAGGCCCAAATGACAGACACGGCCTGTTTACTGCAAGCTTCATGCTTTAAGCGCCGCAGTTCTCTTCGAGCCTATCCAGAGTAGTGTTTTTTTTTTTTTTTTTTTTTTGAAAACGAAGGAAAAGAGGGTGGAAAAGTATTGAGAACAGAAGCTAAAGACACAAGAGTGTTTTACATCATAAGTTTTGTAAATCAGTAACATTGTATTTGAACTAAAGTCATGTATTTGGACTGCTGCACTGCGTTGACAATTAATACACGAATTAAGGATCATTTTTGGCTTCAATATCTCAAAAAGATTAATCTTTCCCATAGCCTAAGCTAACTTACGAACTACTCGTTCCCTCTTCTAGAGAAAACCGAGGTTACATTAGGTAACCGATACGTTCTTAAGACCAAAATCAACTTGGACTTTTCAGTACAGTTTTAAAATCTTCAAAACATGAAAGGAGAAACTCATCAAAAATGCAAATAAAGAATAAAGGAGTGATAAAACATTTGTATATTGTTAAAGGGTTATATAGAAGTTGGAAAAAAGGGTTAGTTTTAAGAACATAAGATTGATACATCACATGCAACTCAGATTCATCAGTTTCATTTTCTGGGTCAACTCAATGTCAGCAAATGAACAATGTTAGTAATTTCCCATTATTTCCCACAATATGTTACCAACAAGATAATAAAACAGTTAGTCACACGCAAACTAAAATATGTCAATAACAGTGAGGTGAGGCGGGATGGGACACGACTTCATTTGGCAGGCTTGTTAAATACCTTAGTTCCAAGCCAAGCTGCCCAAATGACAGACACGGCGTGTTTATTCCGTGCCTCTTCCTTAAGACGCCGCAGTTCCCAGCGAGCCTGCGGATGTTAGCCAGGAGGGCCACGTGGAAGCAGAGATAGGGTGGCAAAGGTTAAAGACAGAAATATGATAAGAAAAGAGTGATTGAAAAGAGTAAGTCGCATCAAAAGGAGAAGTGAATTAGGACTAGAGAGAAAAAAAGAAGGCAAGAAGCTCCGGTGTTCTAAAATCTAACCCCTTATTCATAGAGAAACTGAGTTCAGTACCTGAGTTCCATGCCAGAAGGCTGAAATAGTCGTGACGGCCTGTTCGCACCGCTTCTTGTGTTTCAGTTCACGCAGAAGCTTCCGGGCCTGTGAAAAAAGGGCCACTGTTACATAGTGGGGAAAGACCGGTTGGCTACATTCACACTGTCAAGTTTTTAGGATTGACAACCGCATTTATTTACAGGTGTGAATCTCGAAATGTCCCGATAAAACAGCATCTTACATTAGCATCCTGACTGGCTGTTAGCTAGTAAACATGCAACAGGAATCAAGACTGTATTCTTTCACTAGTAAACATAGCGAAAGTGAAAAAAGTCATATCAAAGATGGGGAAGTCCATAAAACTGAAAGGTTCATCCATCAAATCTTCATTAACTGACAACAGTTTTTATATTTGGGTTTAGACCGGAGCATTTGAATTGTGCAAAAAACACAAATCGAATGGTAGCAGCTCCAGTAACTGGATCAAAAACCTTCAGGTGATACACAGCTCATATTTCCATAGATATGAGAACCACAGATGAAAACTCACAACACATGGTAGACATGAGTTTTTTTCAGTGTAGAGCATCTCTCTTAAACAACTAGTTGTCTAGTCCGGGTCCATTCACCCAGCGCAGGTTTTTTTTAGATAATGCGGATGAGAGTCCTGAAAATGTACGGATGTGAGCTTGGAATGCGGTTGTCACTCTCATAAATTAACTGTGTGTAAACATAACTGCATTTTGGACTCAAATACTAGACTGACAACTGTTTTCTGCTGCAATGGGAATGTGGGCTTTGTTTGCTAAAGGAAATGACATGCAGTTTACCAGAAACCTACCTTCCATCCACGGATGAATGACTGAACCACTAAGGCAGAGCACCTGATTTTCTGGTACTTCTTTTGTTGCTAAAATAAAAAAAAACAACCAACAGCAATCTTGAAACAATGAATCATGTTGAACATAATCAATGTTTTCTATGAAAGGTGTAGTAAAGGAAGCGCACCGCAAATCTTCGGTACCAGGCGGAGACCACCACCTGGCTCTTCTTCATCAGGAGAAAGTGAGTGCGGCACTTCCAGCCACGGTAGATCTTCTGGATGAGTGTTGCCAGGTCCTCTAGGCACTGTCTTCTCTTTTCTTCTAAGAAGAAAAGCTGAAGGAAAAAAATATATATCAGTATCAAAATAAAGAATAGATTACAGGCATTTTAGGCAGGCAGAAAAAAATCTGATATTTTTGGCAAATGTGACTCAAATGCTTATTTTCTAACCAGGAAAAAAAAAGAAGAAAAGAAAATCATTTTTTTTTTTAAATCATCAGGGTGCAAAATGTAATTAACACCCCAGACAGGTGCAGTACTGTCATTTTCTTAATTTGTTCACACTAACATATGGCTTATCTTATGTATTTAGCAGTGAATGACAGAGGTGTCCTGAATGAGCAGATTCAAACACAACATACTGCACAGATATGTCACGATGGACATGTGCTAAGAAAAAAAAAAGTGCTGATGGCATTACTGTCATTACTATAGCAAGGGATGTAGATAAACACTGTCTGAATGAACGGATCAGATTTCATCCCTTGCAAAATGACAGCACAGACAGTCAGTCTCAGATTTGAACAAGATCGGATTTGAAAAAATGCAGGCAAAACTAAGATATACATGATCAAATTCCCAAGGATAAGACTGTGAGAGTTGATGGAGAAAACATTTGTTAGACCACATGATGATCGTCAAGACCAGAAAAATAAATTCCATCCATTGTGGGACCAGCATCCTCTAACATTAAGTAGTTATTAACAGTTGGCAGAACCTTTCCCACCGTCACACGTAAGAGTCAATAAAAAAAAAATGAATAAAAAGAAAAAAAAAAACATGTGGCCATTAGTGGAATTGCATTAGCATAGTTCAAATCATACTTATCAGGCCATTATCAATTTGTTGCAATAAATGAAGAGGTATAATAACCACACGTTCAGTATGGTGTACTGCAAGGCTCAGTACTAGGACCGTTGCTTTTCACCCTGTACATCCTACCCTGTTCAGTTTTCACTGTTACGCTGATGATACCCAGCTCCATATTTGTTTGTGGCCCAATGAAACATTAAAATTTACAAAACTAACAGAATGTCTAGTTGATAAATTTGATGACTAGTCATTTCCTACTTTTAAATTATTAGGAAGAAAATGGTTTTAGTTATTGGATCGAAAACTTCCGCATATTTTTACCGAGTCTCTAACACTTGATGGCTGCTCCGTTACATCTTTGTCGTCCGTTAGGAACCTGGGTGTGTTATTTAAAATCAATCTTCTATCAATATCTAAATATATATCTCTCTATCTCTATCTATCTATATACACACAGTATATAAATAATGACATATGCTCTTCATGTCAGATGCAGTCATGACCTTAAGACTAGATTATTATAAAACTTTACTGGGTGGATTCCCTGCATGCTTAACAAAAAAAATGCAGAATGCAGCAGTTAGAGTAGGTGGGGGCGATAATGCAAAGATTTCATATCATGATTGTTTTTCAGAGAAAAAAAAAGAGAGAGAGAGATCATGAATCTATGATTTTTTCATGTTGGTTTTACTATTTTGCATGTGACTGAGCAGCCCAGCCAAACTAATTTCCCTGTTTTAAAAAATGTAGCCTCACAAGGTAACAAAATCTAAAAGAAAAAAGAATAAAAGACCATTTATGCCATAGGGGTGGGCGAAGATAAAAATCGTTTTATTATTATTTTATCTTTATTATCGAAAGTAAGAAATTGAATGTAAAAAAATTGTTTTATTTTTACATTTTTTTTAAATTCACTGAATAAATGTAGCATATACAATTTATACAGTGAAGGGCAGTTAATAGTTTTCTCTGTCTTTCGTTGTTTGATTATAATTATAAACATTATTGCCGCTTGTCATTATTGTTTGGTAGGCTGCAGTCACTTTAAGACCTCATGCACAGATCTAATATAATGACACGCATCCGGTTTTCTCCACACTGTTTACGTTTATTTAAGATATAACTGATAGTGTTTATGGAAACCTTCTGTGTATTTGACAGTTTAAGTCCAATAAGACGCGAAAGATTACTTAGGTTGTTACTCAAGCATTGTTTGACAAGCTTTCAGTGTGCGTGCACTTCAGGTGCACACCATCACATTTCACATAACACACTTCTATGAATTCAAATCCATTAAAGGATTATTAGGCTGCATAAAGTAGGTCAAACAGATCCGGGAACACTTCTCACAACATCCACTTGTTACTTCTATGATAATTTAAGTCTACCTGTCTCATTCTTATCCCAAGGTTACATAGTCAACCGGATCCAGATGGTGGACCTGCACCTAGACACAACGACAATTCAGCCCAATAAGTCAGCAGAGACTGTGCCAACTAGCCAATCCCCTGTGAATACCTCGTCTAACAGACAACCATCGGCAGAGATCCTTAGCAAAGACCACAATAACCAGAAAAGTCCTCTGGACCAACCCTGATGGCCAACTTCGTCTCCATAACAGCGTGATGAATCCGATCTTCAAGCAGAAAGAACTGGATGAAATGTTTTGAAAGTTACTAATCCACATTCTGACCCACGACTAGAGATGCAAAACAAAACTAGATCGCTCCCATTGTAACAACAACAAAAAAATCTCAGTTAAAAAAGGTTCTCAAAAACAGGAGTAAAAGTGCACCATTTGACAAGATTTTGTGGGCAAAACAGGTCCTTTGTCTGTCAATAGTGTAGCTATGTATAAAGCACAGCTCAAGCAGAAACTACTTTCAAACCAAGCAGCTTTATTTTGGTCAACACAGTAAATTCACTTGACTATCTTGAACATGTGCTAAATCTGATGGGGAACCTTTCACCCTAATGTGGAACTCCCGATCATGCAAATTCCTATTGAAATAACTGGATTTGGAAATACATGCGAGTTTGAAGGTCACTAGTCCGTGCACAGGTTCATTTTGGTGGAAAAGAGGTGAATGATGACTTGACTATATACCCTAGAGGTCAAACACGATCTCTAACTCCATGGCATTGAATTAAAATCTGGAGATGGGAGATTATGCAGGATAGGACGCTCTGTACTACTGCCAGATCAGTGACTGACACCCAAGGATTCAGTGCAGGGTTTTCATGGGCTCCTCTGGAATTTCTCAGTTGAAGTCTCATTTCCCAAACTACCAAACAGTGGAGAGGGGGGTGGGGGGTATAAGTGAAACCATGTGTGCGAGTGCCTGTTTGCGTTTCTTTCATGGGGGCGATTGCTACTAATTACATGAGAGAAGCCTGACAGAACATGACTTCCTGTTTGAGAAGCTTTAAAAAAAACCTTGAGAGATCCAACGCATTTTCATCCTAGGGCATCATATAGTGACACTTTTGAAATTTCGTCTAAATCCAACACACATGGCACCCTTTAGCGTCAATGTAACACACAAAGAGCTTTGTTCGGTTATGGTAGGTTTAGTTATGGGGTAGGTTTACGGTTACAACACTAGGAGGCGCCTTCTGGCCCATTTTTATAGTTACACCACTAGGAGGCGACTTCTGGCCCATTTATATCTGCATCTCATATTGACGCTAAAGGATGCCATGTGCGTTGGATGTAGACGGAATGTCAAAAGCGTCAGTATTATGACGCCTTGGGATGAGAACGGGCTGGAGAGATCATGCGTATCAATTGTACAAATCCAAGCCTTTCGCCATGTTGGAAGAGGAATTGAGCCAAATGATATATTCTCCTGGCTAGAGCCATCTTCTGTGTAACAGCATCAAAATCGCACTCTATGAACTTAAGAGTAGTAACTCACTCACCGTTCTGGGGTTCCTGATGAAGATCTTCGAACGGCCATAGGCAAACTCCTCTGCATTAACCTGCAGACCTGTCAGGAGAACCTTGACACCCTCCCTAATAATAAATAGGCCACCAACTGTCAGTCAACCAATCTATTCACAAAAAGCATATACGTGTGGGTTCCAAATGTCTGAAACTAAATTGCATCTAAATTCGAACAATTTGAGTAAAAATTTCCCTTAATTTCTCGTATTTGGTATTATTTCTTTTATACTTTTGGAAGATGCTTTTATACGAAGCAACTTTGAATTACATTTTACCAATATGCTCATTCTTTGCAAACTGAACCCACTACCTTGGCATTGCTATTGCAATGCTTTACCAGATCTACACAAACAAGATCACAAATAGTGCAGAATCTGTTTTCAATCATTTGCCCTTGGTTTACATTTTACAAAAGACTTTGACATTTATTTCCAGTGAAAAAAAAAAAAAAAGATTTTCAATGTAGTCTCAGACTTCGGGACCCCACTGTAAATTCTAGCACATTACTGAACAGTTTCTGTTAAACAACAAGTTAAAAGTAAAGGTGCACAGTATGATTTGGCACAGAAACATGCACCATGTTAAAGATAACAAACAGTGTCTGAATGATATGAATGAAAAGTAAAACATAGTCTAGCCACAGTCGGCATAGAGATGATGATAACATTCCAGTGAAAGATAACATGATAACATGAGTCCAAATCTCCATGAACACAAGATTCTCCAATCAGACAATTCAGTGAAATGACTCAGTGTCCAGAAGTGACAGTTATGAGGGCCAATTCTGTCCTGGCATGTTTGCCATCAGATACAAGTACATTTGAAAGAGGGCTTATTTTCTGTAGCCAGGCGAAGTTAAGGTAATCGTTAAACTTGCAAAGCATTCAGGGAGATTTAAAACAAGAGGCAGCATGTTTAAATATCTACAAATGAATAAAAAGATCATGCAGGTGGAGGTACAAACATTGAAAGATCTTCTTAAATCTCAAATGTGATGACAATATAATGACGACAGCTGAACAGCATGTTCAGAAAAAAACAAAAGCCTGCAGAAGTGTTCTTTAAAAAACTAAATAAAAAAACACACAAGACCTGTATGACATTCTTTATCAGTGGGGGTCTAACCTGGCTGGGCCCCTCCAGTGGGGCCAGGTCTGCTTACAGAGCATCTTGTAGCGCTCCAGGCAAGACTCATAGGCCTGGCGGAAAGCATAACCAGCCCTTCTTACGCGTACATTCTCCATCAGACCCAAGTAGCGCACTTGGTGACACACTAGTGAGTCTGTGAAAATGTGGGCTGCTTTCTTGTCATTGGGTTTGATGCACCTGAACACAGACATAAAATAATTACTCAAGTTTGAATAGAAAAGCACAGTTTGTTGATTGGGTGAATCTTCCTTGGGTGAAGGTATTTTGTGCAGGCTTATTATAGTTAACTAACAAATAAAACAAGTAAATATTACTGCAAAAAAAAAAAAAAAAAAAAAAAAAAAAAAAACTGAAAAATGTTTTGCTCTTTTGTTGTACTACCTATAATGCTGTTCAAAAACAGTAATCCTAAAATATGCTTCACTTTCTTTACACAAAATTGATTCTTTGTTTTGGGATGAAATGTGGTCTATTATATTTTGTGAGATCCAACATATTAGGTGCATATTACCATGGCAAGGCAAGCAATTTTGGAAAGTCAAAAAATATTAAATAATGGTTCAATGGATCACAAAACTCACGGTTCGGATCATATTACGGTTTTAGAGTCAAGGATCAGTGACGCATAATTGTTTGGATACGCAAGGGAAAAAAACTTTTTTGGGGTGTGGGGGGTAACTTTAAAAGTTATTACTTAAAAGCACTCTTTAAAAACTCCAATACCAAAAATAACTTGCCAAACTAATAAAGTTCAAAAATTATTAAAAGCAACAGTCAGTAATACACAAACAAATACACAAATTACAAATAGAGAAAAATACAATTTAATAAAGTTACAAATAAAGTAAGGTCAAACGAATATTCAGGTACAAAAATGTAATAATTAAATGTAAAATAATACTATATTGTTCACTGTATACATTTAATATAAATCTATTTTTTTGTTAAAGCCTTGTTTTATTGTTTGATTGACATGACAAACAACAGCAGGTATTTATAGGTTGCTTTCCCTTCAAGCCTGAATGCATGGATCCAATATAATGATACACATCCAATTCACTTAAGACATAACTGACTGTGCTTACAAGAATACCTGCTGAGATGGGTATTTTGACAAAAAATGTGTGTATGTGCCCATCCAAGTGTAAATAGATGCGAAAGATGAATCAATTCGGAGTTTGTGCTGTCTGAAACGTGCCTCTCTCTGTGTGTGTGACCTTCGGGTGTGTGCGGCTTTGCGCACAGATAACAGTGTGCGAGTACGTAATTAAATTCTCTTTTGCCTCTTTTAGTGCTGGAATGGTTTAAAATCTATTGAATGTGTGATGAATGATTGAATCACATGCGTGCCGAACCGTGGAGCCTGGTCCTTACGCATCACGGATCAACTAGGATCCGTTTTAATCCCTTAAATTAAATGTTTCTAAATAAACTTGATATATATGAAGAGTTCAGATGCAAAAGCCTCTAAATGCCATTTGAAATTTTCTTCTTTAATGATGATTTTTATCAAACTTGTATATTTAAGTTCAGTAATTTCACTTAATTATCATTGCCATTTAAGTGAAATTACTGAACTTAAATATACAAGTTTGATAAAAATCATCATTAAAGAAGAAAATTTCAAATGGCATTTAGAGGCTTTTGCATCTGAACTCTTCATATATATATATATATATATATATATATATAGTTTTTTTTTTAATTTGTTTTAAGCTTACATTGTTGTTTAATTAAAATGATAATCCATAAAAAAACAATGCAATTTAATGTTCCATTATGTCATAATAACGTCAGTGTCAGAAGGTTTGTGATTGTCACCTGATATAGTTGGGGTTCTTGGTCAGCAGGTTCTTCATGAGCGTTCCCACTGAGGCTTTGAACTGGAATCCAGCTGTGGGGGGCCGCTTAAGGTTCACTTTAGCTGGATTTCCCTCAGGAAAGAGAAGCTTCATCAGACTGTGATTGGCTTTGTACATGGCCTGGGATAAATCTCTGTAGAGGAGGTCATTGTTTTTATCCACAAATCCCTCCGCCCGATACACCACCTGTGTATGCAGAATACTATTTTAAATAACTCTTCTTTATAGACTTCTCAGATCTTTACAATGTGCTTTTTCTAAAAAAACACAGAATGTGGGTTAAAAAAAGAGAGTGAGAGCTTGAGGTAGTTGAGAAATAGGGAAGCTGTTTATGAGCTCACCTTTCCAGCATAGTGCTGGATGCGGAAGCAGTTGTGTGGAAGGCTGTGGTCTGTGAGGAATTTGGAGTTTTTGCTCCGTCTGCTCTCAAAATGCTGGTGTTCAGCGCATACGGTGTTCAGCTTGTCTAGGAATGTCTCATCTGTCACTGTGCCTGGCCTCAAACACTCCTCATCCAACATGGCCAAAATCCCATTCTGGTTCTGAAACCAGATTATGTTCATTACATTAAATAAATATATATTTTGTAAATCTGTGGAATTTAAACCATGTCTGTAAACTTTGAGACCATCTTTATGCTAGTCTCCTACTTAAAACGGACATAAATTAACCTTTTATAAACTGTAAATACATCGCAAGTTATTTACCCATTGCGGCTAATACATCAGAAGTCTCATACATTCACAGAAAATCGTTTAATTCTGTGTTGCAAAATAAGGTGTATGCAGATTCTGCAAGTATTTCTCATTAAGTCTATAATGAAGAGATCCTTAGGATTACAGCAACAAAGACACAATTCTCAAATGGTGGTTTTTCAATATTTATAAAACTACTGTCAGAAACACTCACATTTTCGATGAGGTCACATATGATGGCGTTGTTGAAATACTCAATGTTGGTCCACTCAATACCCTGTAGACAAAAATAGGCATCAGTTGTAAATTTCTAAAGAGAAATATTCCTAGAACACCAACTTAAGCAAATCCTGTCGTCAACAGTCAAACCTGATTGGTTTAGGAAAGATACAGACAAGCTTTAGTAAACCTGAACATGTAAACAACAACACATATCCAATTACACAAAGTAGTAATCCTCCCACGATTATTTCTCAACTGTATAAAAGCAATGATTTGATCTTATTGCAAATTATTAAAGTGCAATTTTACTGAATACATAGGTTATTAAAGTGAATGACCTAATCATTAATAATGATTAATATTTACATGAATGCTGCTATTATTAATATTAATAGTAAATGCAGTTGACATTAAACAAATAAATAAGTATCATGAATTATATGTAAACTGTAATTAAACTATTATACATTTGAAATGTTTGTTTACAAAGCTAAATAATGTAGTTCATTGTAGATACATGACTTGCACTGAAGAGAGATGAATTGGTTAATTGGTTAACGTACCAACCCCGAAATTATTAAATAAAACAATTCTGTATCAAAATGTATAGGCAGGACAAGTAGTTTGTTTGGGCATGGTTTGTAGGGAATTACAAACCTGCACACATATATTCAAACACACAACTATAGAATCAATTCTTAATCCGCATGTGAACGGCATCAGCGTTTATCACAAGTGTTTAAAGTCTGTTGGGAGAGAACGGTGTCGTCGCCCTTAAGTTAATAACAAATTATCATTTTGACGGAAGTGAATCAATCAAAACTAACTTTAGCTGGAAAATAAAATTATTAAAGAACCGCTATCAAACCAAACCAAATTATATGTGTATCTTTGTAAAGCTTCTTTGAAACAATCTACATTGTTAAAAGTGCTATATAAATGAGGATGACTTGACCTAACTTAAATCAAAAGTTATTTATGCCAATTAATTGTCAACAAAATTGTCAAACACAATGCAGTTCAGCCATGCAGTTTAAGCCAGTACATTGGCTTGATGTACTGGTCCCCCCTCATGATTTGAATATTGGGTGACAACTGAACTGCGTTGGATGATGACATCACTGTTTTCTCTAAAGCTGCTTTATAGATGAACTCATTCCATAATTGATGAACTTTATTGAACCAAACTGAATCAACACTAAACCGTTTGCAACTGAATAGTAACTATTGTCTTTTTAGAGCTACTTCATGACTGAATCAATTTCCTTATATAAATATCGCTATATAAATTAAGGTGACCTAACTATGATATTTATGGTCTGGAGTGCAAATGTATATGTCCTATGGGCTATATGCACGCATAAGTTCCGCATTTGACGCAAGGATGCTCGTCTATTTCCGGTTGTGTAGATTAAAGCGGAGGAAAACCGGAGAAAACGGGATTATGGCAGAGTCTTCAATATTTACTGTCCTCCCGTCTTTGAAACGAAATGTACATACGTTTAGATGTAATTTTATATACAGTTATGTTTATTTGATATCATTTTAAAAAGAAGCATAAACACAACGAGGGGTGTCTGTTTTATCTGTTTTTGTGACTAACGTTTCATTAGTATAACCATGGAGTATAAAATTCAATATAAATTCTTGCTATTGCATTGGACTCTATGATCGGCGGAAGTTATCGAGCATCCCTAATGCTTCACCGGAAATACCGCCGTGCATAGAGCCCATTACAGAACTATGGAATGGGCCATAGATTTAAACAGAAAATCAGAGCCAATCAAGGCCACACTGGATTAACATGCTGGAAAATAGCTGTGGGCTAATTGGACTGTGTGAAAGCTCCTCAAACTAGGAGGTAGATGCAAGCGGGAGGAGGGTTCAAGAATGGGGAATGTGGAATGTGGATTGGGGCAGACTGGTCCCTAGACCCCTGCATCCCTCCTCAGTCTCCAGAGCAGTGGTATTTTCCCATGCACTCTGCTGGAGTGAAGCCAGAGCGTGTAATATCACAGTGCAGGGGTCACGGCAGCGTCAGGGCACATACTCAAGAGTTCTGAAAGCAAACAGAGCTCCAAACTCTTCAGGGACAATTGTGTTTACCCTGACTGGAGTGAGGGATTGTTTCCGTCCCCACAATCACAGCACAAAAGGAGAGGGATTGTTAGAAGAAAACAGTAGACAAACTCTGTTTGGAATAAGACACTAGCTTACGCCATTAATTATCACCTATTTTATAAAATATTACAGTAAACAGTATGGATGCATCTAAAATCAAGCAGTATAGGGAAGTAAGAGATCAAGGAACATTCAAACTCAATGTTAATGTAACATTTCATTTCATTATGAGGTTGGTCTTTGAAAGCAGCATGGATGCACCATTGATTTCCTACAATATCCCACAGTCCTTTTATTTTCTACAAGTCTTTGTGGGAAGTTTGTAGCATACCTCCCGGATATACTCCTCCTGCTCTTCGCGGAGAGTAAGCTCGATGAAGATTTGCTGGAGTTTCTCATTGCAGTAGTTGATGATGAACTGTTCAAAACTGTTGTCCTGCATGAACAGAAGGATAAATGAGAACCAATACAACAAATCATAACTCTGATAATTAAAATCCACTGCAATCTACAACACACCGCAAACCAGCACACTAATACACAGCAACATTATTTACTAAGCACCTTCCTCTAGGAACCTCTATAAGCTGAATACAAGCTGGAAAGTTTATTTTTGGATTTTTGTAATGCCACACCAATCAAACAACAACAAAAACACATCCACATCTCTAAATATCTTTCATTTCTAAAAATCTCTTATGAGGTTGGCCTCCCATTGTAGCTAAACAATGACATAAAAACTATTATTATTACAGCAAACTTAACACTGGTTTGGTATCAAAAAGGTACACTGGAATTATTAAATTTTTTAAACATTCTTAATGTGCATGTGATGGATCTCAAATACGTTTTCGGCAAAAAAAAGTTCTTAAAGAATTCATAGGAAATTAGTTGTATAGGAATAAGTTGTCAAAAACAACCCTGTGCAAAGTTTGCTCTTACAAAACAGGTCTTTATAGCTAAGATTAAGCAAAGTACAAGGGGTGACATGGTACACTACAAATCAAGGCTGCATAATCTTATCTGCATCTTTTCATAAAGGTGAAGTCTTTAATCTTTTCACCTACAGTAGATATGTGAAAAATGCTTTTAGGGTAAAAAAAAAAAAAAAACAGTTTCCTTTTCTCATGCTAAACCCTTAATCAGTGTAATTAACACCACTGTTCAATTAAATAAACAGTAATAGATTTTTATGCTCATTTGCTTATGATAAAAGGTTAGGATTGTACTATTTATCCATGATACTGGGGCTCAGGAATTAACAATACTCTTCTTCAGTCAGTTTTTTTTATCCATTTAATCTTCAGAGCAATCCTAGGGCATGTTAGTCTCTGCAACTAAAGCCACTGCAATTATCAGTACCATGGGCCTGGCATTAGGAAAAGCCAAAAAAATCACTTCCAAAATGCAGCATATGGCACACTGAAAAGCACCAGCTCATTGTTTCACTTGGCAATGCCAGCTTAATCTTGGCACTAGCACATCAGCCTAGAGCTGCAGTGTTTTCAGAGTAACAAGAATTGAAGAAGTAAATCTGTTCAAAGAATAACCTCAACAACTCTTGCATTTTCTGTAGGCCAAAAAGCTCAAAAACACTGCAGTCTGATTTCAGTGAAGCTTAAAGAAATACTTCACCCCCTAAAAAATTGTTATTCTATCATTATCAAATCACGCTCAAGCTCTGAATTTTTTGGCTGAACTGAATAAATGGTGCTAATGTTGTAATATCAACAGTACAGGGCATACCGACACTACTAGGAAACACTGTGAAGCTCTAACAGTGGCTTACGCTGCTGAGGTAAAAGAGCTGAATTAAGACTAGGATTAAGTGCTAAAAATTGCAGCATGCACACTGCCACAGGATTTCCTCCACAGGTCTACTTACTCCATCCTGTCGCCATGGCCACAACAACATAAACAACATTCAGGAGAGAGTGATACAGTCAGACATCAGAACACATGCAATGGACAAATAAAAACCATTGGCTGAAAGATGAATTAGAAGGCCCAGACCGAATGTGTAGACATTTTTCACTCTTTTTGGTGGAATTTAAAGTGTATTTAAACATTAAACATGCTTCTAAAATATAGACTTGATAAAATATGGAGTTCAGATTCAGTGTGGGCCAGAGAAGTAGTTCTCTGTATCATGTTAAACACTTGTGAGATTTAGTATGACAACTAGGGATGCACCGATACTGCACTCGTACTCATTAAAATGCTCCGATACCAACAACCTATACTCTGCATTGTGTACAGTACAGTGTTTGTAACAAAGAAACCCTGACAACAGAATAAACAGAGCACAGTTGATATATCAGCGAAGGTATAAAAATGCATTTTTATACCTTAAAAAAGGCAAAATGCAAAAAAAAATTAAAATAAAAATGCAATGAAAATACAGGTATTGGTACTTTGTATTGGTATCAGACACATTCTAGGGAAAAGTGGTATAGGTGCATGCCTTGCAACAACAATAAAGTCATTATAGCCATATTATTAGCATAAAAAATAAATTAGGACAACAGCATGGGAAGGTGGAGGTGCACAGTAAGTGTGTCAGCCCAGAAATGCAGGACACTTAGTTTAATTAACATCCAAATATTGTGTTTGGTGTATGTGTGTGTTCAGCCTGGAAACCTCCCTTTGCATAAACTGTGAAGTGTGAACATGTGTCAAAATCCCAGACCAAATCTCTCACCTCAAAGATTTCAAAACCGTAAATATCCAGGACTCCCATAACTTTCTTCGGTTTCTTGGTTTGAGCCTAAACAAAAAAAGAAGACAGTGAGTTATTAATCATAATTCTAAGGCAAACCTGACTTGGCCATGCACAGCACATGGCAGGATCAGGATCTCGTGGTACAATAAATACTCTTGTGTCACTAGCTATAAACATATCATATCAAACAGTCACATTAACTTGAAATAATTTGCTCAGCAAACTGTTCACCATGACAGTAGTCCAATAGAAATAGGTCCAATAGGACACTCAAATTTCCTGACCAGCTTTCTGTTGCTTGGTTTAAAGTAACTTCTGTATGAGTTGACAATTTTGACAATATATAGAAAGCATAACCATAATAGCCTGGTTCAACACTACATTGCTCCCTATTAATCATCATATACATTTTAAAATATTGCTGATTTCTTACTAAGTACTAAATGTTTTAGCTCCCCAGTACTTGAGCGAGCTCTTAAATCATTATAGTCCTTCATGTCTATTGCGATCTAAAAATTTGGGCCAGTTGATAATGCCTAGACTATCAAAATCGACTGCTGACAGTAGATCCTTTTCCTATTTAGCACCAAAACTCTGGCTCTGCATGCATTGACACCGTAATATGAGAAATGAACTGGGCGATGACATCACGGTTTTCTCCAGAGCAGCTATATATATATATGAACTAAATTAATAACAAAGATGAAACATTACTGAACTTACTTAAGCTGGACTGTGACTATTTTCTTCTGGAAACAAACTGTTGCATTATTTTCCTGTTATCTCTGTAAAGCGATATTGAAATCAATGAAAAGCCAGAAAAACATACCTTAATGCTTTCATTGATTCGGTTCACCAGCCAGCTGAACATTCGGCTGTAGAGGTTTTTGGCAAGAGCATCACGGGCATAATAGGCCTGAAATGGGAGACGTCTCAAATTATAATCGATGTTCACAAAGATATTGTTTAATCTTTAGCTCCAACCCACTCAATGTCTCGAGGCTGCATCATGTAACAACACTTTTATCACAGTTGAAAAGACCAAAAAAAGATTCCTGGTCTCATCTTGTGGCTCGGATCCAAATGTGCTGAGGTCTGTCATCTATCAAGTTAACTTTGACCAGAAATGCATTTTAAGTTCATGGATAAACTTAACAGCATGAGGTTTTGCCAAGGACACATCACAAGATGCTAATGGGATGCTCACTTAGATGTAATTATTGCAGTAATCAAGCTTTTGGGTTTATGGATTCCAGCAGCCTTTACTGAGGTTTGGCCGGTAATATCTTTTGACCTCTAATTATGTTGTTGGCTTGACAACAGTGTTATTGTACAAGGTTAGGTTAAGCGTTTTTGTTTTGTTACTGTTTTTTTTTTTCTTCTTCAAATATTTAAATGTATAAAATGTTTGCCTCTCCTAGACAGCTCAATCTGCATCCACTTTGTTGCTCTTTTATCATTTCTAACATAGCTTACAATCAAATTCCACAGATTTATCATTTCTGACTGTATGTCCATGAAAATCTTTCAAACTATGTTCACCAAACTTGGAACAGACCAACAGGCTGTTCTGACGTAGTATGCTTTAGTTATTTTATTTGATCTAACTTGTTTTTCCTGTAGTGAACACATTTTTTTTTTTCAAGGGTAGCCCCTTGAGACTCTCATTTTTCTCTCATGTTTGAATGTGTGTGTTTATGAATGAGAATGTCAATGTATCTAAATGTTTGTAACAGTCCTATAGTGAAATGATTTATAATGATCTTGTTTGTTGTAAAGAACGGACCCCCTCGAAAATGAGCTGGTTCATCTAAAGGGGCTATCCTTGAAAAAATCATTCATTAAACATCAAATGAATATAAATATACTTTATTTATTTGTTGTTATTTTTATTATGTGATCAAGTATTTAAACAGCGTAAGGGTTTATTTCATCATAAGGTTTTCCCCCCCACTTTCAAATTTTGTCCTCATTGTTTTGTTATATATCTGTCTGGATGTCTTTGACCTCTGGGGAACTTTGTCTCCCCATCATCTACACTGAAAATGCAACAAAGATTTACTCTCTACATTGGCATTTTTGAAGTTGAATCTGAAATACTTGTAATAGTGATAATTACTATGTGCCAGGTCAATCAGATGACCTTTCATTCATAAGTGATATGATTTAATGCTAGTTTTAAAAAAAAAAAGTTAGTTTGTCATCATATTTTAGGCTTTCCAAGATCTTTTGATCAATGCATTTCTATCACTTTCAGTCATTCAAAATTACAGAATGATGATTTAAAAAAAAAAAAAAAAAACTTCAAGAGACTGAGAACATGTATAGATATAGAATCAACCATTTAAAAGGAGCTCAACCTACAGAGAAAGAGTGTGCTTATGCTGACCTGAGCCACGTTGAGCGTGGTGGACACCTTCTCCATCTTAGCCTCCACCGTACGAAAGCTGAACGCTCTCTCTAGCACAGACTGTTCAATGCCTAGCAGCTCACACATCTCCTTGAGGTCTGGAACAGCAAATGCAAAAGAAACCCAGGCAGATCAGGTTAAATAATGATTTATGGATAGACTAGACACAGACAGTGTATTATGTAATTTAAACAAATTTGGCAAATGCCAAAGATGAGCATAAATCCTCCACCTCTTTAATAAAAAAAAAAAATCAGTTTAGTGTAATAATGTCTTTAAAATGTAAAACTACAGTCATTTTTTTATCAAAGGCTTATCCGAGAGTCTAGAGGTCAAGGTTTAGACTGATATATGTTAAGCCCCTCTGCAAGCAATTTAAGCTATAAAATATTTTAAAAGTGTTTCTTTTTTTTTGAGATGATCTGAAAATCAGGTAGACCAGCCCCGCACCCTTCCCACACCGGCTCAATCTGCCTCATTTTAGCAACATTGCTATCAGGTCAAAAGGACAGATGAAAGCACATTACTGCTAATGGGTTTAAGCACAGCAGACAAACCAGACGCTGTAGTATGTAAATGGAGGTGTTGACATAAGACTGTGATGTTTAGTCTGGGACGGTCAATGCCCTGGACATAGGAAACTACTAGAACAACCAGTGACAAAACCGTCATGCAGTGCATGTATTTAAGTAGCTGACATTTTGTTTTAGACAATTCTATTTCATTTTATAAATTCTATTTAGACTTAAGTATTTACGTCACACTTAAAAATGCATGAATGTCACGGCATTGCATGAAAAAATGCTGCTAGAGTTTTTCTTAAAACTAATTTCTAGGAAACTGCTTTCAAGGTCATTATTTGCACTGTTCGCGGGAAAGTAAATATTTCAGGCCTGTACGAGTTTTAGCATTATTTTGAATGACATTTTTCTGCCTTGATTTGTTCTTAACAGAGGTAAACTGAAATAATAACTGTTTAATAATAATAGAGGAATTGCAAAATGGTTTAAGATTATTTCAGCATGGACAGGACACATCTGTCACTGATTTAAATATATCTACCCATTAGTCAAGGAGGCATTCATCTGGCTTTACAAAAACATTTTTTTTTTTATCATCAGCTTATGCATAAAAAAAGCTGCAAGGGTGATTTGGTTAAGTACCTATGTGGTTAGAGTCGATTAACTATACAACCAACTGCAAGCTATTACTGTAAATATATCTTGACAGATCAATAGATGGCAGTAGTGAACAAAGGGTGAGCAGATAAAGGCATGTTATATACAAGATAACAGTACGTGCTGTTTCACAATTCATTTTAATTTGATTTTCTATGCAAGCAAATTTTAAATCATTAATCCTGATTGTGATGTTTTCATTTGTAAATCAGAGGTTATAAAAAGAGGAAATAGCAATATCTAACCAGATCTCTTAAAAAGCTTTTGGGTAGGCAATGCTTTCTAACAGAGCCTGGAACTCACCGTTCTTGTCCTTTACGCGACTCTCATCAAACCCGTTGACGCGAGACTCTGGTTTAAACTCTATATTTCCTAGCTTGAGAGCGGCAGCCACCAGCTCAAATATTGACTGAACCTCATCCTCCATGAAGCCCACAATTTGCATGGCATTCTGGGAAAACAGAAGGGAAAATATTTTTAAATCAATAGTGGTCTGCTGATGGACATTTAACATGGTAGTATATATGGTGGCTTCTGTTAAGTGATTGACTGGACCACTACACTAATGGACAGCCTGAGGGTGTTGAACAATCTAGAGGAAAAACTAATGACAGAAATTTCCATCACACCACAGGCTGTCAAAGAGAAAAGATTGAGCATTTGGAGTTGGTCTTGCAAGCAGTTCATTGGCAAAGTCAATGGTCTAAAGGCCAGAGATAACAGTGAGTGAGCCTCGAACGTGACGCAGCTCAAAGGGAATGACATTATCCTTACAGAGTGGAGAAACTCTCCAATAATGTTTTCATGTTAATAAGACAGGCAAGCCGTGTCTCCAAGAATGAAGGTTCTGCTGAGATTTGTATATTATTTACAGCCTTGCATGAATAGCAACCATCCTCCCTAGTGGAAGTGTTTACTGTCTCCTACACACAAAGCCTTATTTATGCTTAACCTTATAAACTGCAACTGTCTACACTGCAAAAAAGCATGTTTCTAATTAATTGGATTTGACTCCCCAGGCAAGGGGTTAAAAGACAAAGCCAGAGGCCCAGCACATGCTGAGTTAGGGTGTTCTGATGTCAGCATGGAGCTTAGCTTAGACATATTATTCATCAGAACTGCACTGCATTGTCTGATACAGTGCTGGATTCTGACCAGTTTAATGTGGGATGCATTGTTTGCTGGGACACAAACACTACAGTGATTCAAATCTGTAATGTTATGAAACGACAATAATACTTTGTAAAAAAAGAAAACATCAAAAATTAAATCTCTTCTGCATTCTGATGAAGAACCCAGGAGCTCTGTACTGTGTTTACAACGCAAATAGCGTAGGAGATCAGACAGAAGAGAAGAAATTGTTGTATAAAGTTGTTTTACTTATGTTTTTTGTGCACAAAATGTATTCTCGTAGCATCTCGTAGCACATTAAATAGCTTATAGCTATTTGCAAACATTTAAAAATGCACGTAATTTGTTATAAATTTGTCTGGGAAATACATTTTTAAATGTTAATAAAACCATATTTTGTATGTCAGAAACCAAGTAGATGTTGTAAAAATAATAATACTGTAATAATTTCTGTCCCAGGGCCAGTGAAAAAGTCAGGCAAGTGCTCAGGGGAAGTACACTACTGTCTCAACCAGGCCAGCAGAAAAGAATCTTTTTGTCAAGTCCAACAACATGACCCGAAAATAAATATGCATAATAGAAGGAAAAGAAAACAAAAGCACTGATTTCTATTTGCACAAGTCAGCTAAGAGCAGGTGGAATTCCCCCTTAAATGAACCTTCAAGTCTTTAAGTAGAGGCTTGAATGAAGCTCAAATTACATAATGCCACAAGGCAAAGTGTCTTGCTTGGATCAAACTCCACCTCAGTGGGGTAAAGGATGATATTATCCAGTTAAGCTGAGGAGATAAGGTGCTTTGCTAACCTCTCATCATACAGGGTGCCATGGATCAGAGCTAATCCCAAGACAGTCTGAACCAATGTCTCACATGATGTAATGGGTTTAGGAACCAGCTACTATATGGTAGGCTTGAAAGCAAACTTACTCTGACTGTTCTGAAACTGGCAGCATCGTCCAATCCATTGACTGTTGCCGAATCCAAGCTAAGGTAGTTGTATTTGCTGAAGTCTCGGTCCAGCTTCAGTTTTTCTGAAAGAAAAATGCAATTATGGAGTTCACTTGACAACAATCTTTGATAACTGAGCACTGTAATTTCTCACAGTTGTTTTTCTATCTGTCCCTTTAACTGTCTTTGGTTTTGTCAAAGAGTTTGGTCTATGTATTAGTCATTTCATAAGACCCTGTTGCCATCAGATTGTGTTACTTCCGTGTGTTTTTTTTAGTCCAGCTCACCCCTTTGATGCCTGAAATCAAAGTCTGTTATTGTGTTCTCTTTTGTTAAAAATGTCAGAATGGCCATGGTCCAACGTGGTGCGAACCCACCCGAAAAATGAACAATGCGTTCTCAGGTAAGCTTACTGCAATCTGTTCCTCACCATGTTCTGAAAGCCACTGAATGGATAGTGCATCCAGAATACACATGTAATCAAAATAAAATGCAAGTAGTCTCTTACTGAGCAAGTCATCTGATGCTCCAGAAAGCAGCTGGTAGAAGATGTGGAAATTCCTCTCACCCCTGGACTGCTTTACCACACGGGATTTCTCCAAGAGATCTGTGAAAGGGAAATATCAAACAGTTCATGTGCACCCCACACAGAGATGACAACAGCTTGGAGGCGTTGTCCCCAAGGAAAAAGTAAGCACTTGCCCTTAAGTGTTGTCCCCAAGTAAAAAAATAAATAAAATATTGATAACATAATTACTTTTGTCCATTGAAAGTTTTAGCGAGACTGTTTAAACCTAAAAGACAGGCCTAACATGAGATGCAATGCATTCAAGCAATGATATTCTCAATGAAGTCAATGTGTTTTCAACCTCATAAATGATTTTCTCAATATAAAATGTTCTACTTTATTACTTTAACATTACTTTTATACTGTATCCACCAGTCAGAAAATCAACTGTTTCGGCCCACTCCCATAAAGTATTGTAAAAAACATAAGTCTCTCTACACTTCTGAACATCTTTCATATTTAAATTTGTATATATCTTAATATTTTGCAATGAGATTCAAATTCTTGTCTCATTCACTTTTCACTTTTTCACATTTTGTTGTGAAATACAGTTTAGCTTTTGTCTTAAACCACCTACTCTCAGGAAGCGAAAAAGTTTGTCATAAGGACAAATATAATACATGATAAAAATTAGCTATTGGCTACAAACAATTCTCTCCAGTCGTTATAGAGGAAACAAAGGTGTTTTCCTGTTTACATTAGAATGGATATTTAGGTATCCATGGTGAAGCTTTCATTGTTCATTGTATTTAGATTGAGACGGGAAGTCTCACAGGAGATATTCATTTGTAGGAGGGACATGTCACACCACCTCCATCCATCCTGTGTATCCAGTAGAAAACAGCAGCATCAGCCTAAAGCCTTGATTATCTTATCATCAACCACATTTATTAGGTTGACATGAGAGAAGACAAGACATTGCTTATCTGTAACTATAAAACCTGGGCTGAAGGCATAACTGTTAGTAAGTCAGTCCTTTTGTTTCAAATATCCAAAACATCATAAGGTTGTCATTTAGGGCTCGTGACACACTAACCGATCGACCAGTCACTCAAACTGGAGTACTATTTAATGTAGGTTACAAACTCTCCTCAAATTAATTAGCTAATGTGTCAATGGGCAGTTGTACGGACAGACAAGTGTCAACGGTTACAGGAATTTGCTGTGGTATAACAAACTTAGGTTGATTAATTATCACTCAATGCCAAGTGGTAGCACTTTCGTTTCCATTTAAAGATTTTAAAGGAGTGGTTCGCTTTAAAAAAAAAATGTGCTGATAATTGACTCACCCCCATGTCATCCAAGATGTCCACGTCTTTCTTTCTTCAGTCGAAAAGAAATTAAGGTTTTTGATGAAAACATTCCAGGATTTTCTCTATATAATGGAGTTCATTGGGAACCAAACGGTTCAAGGTCCAAATGAGTTTCAGTGCAGCTTCAAAGGGCTTTCAATGACACCAGACGATGAATAAGGGTCTAGTCTGAGGACCCTTCGAGTCATGACTCGAAAAAAGATTTGTTCATTTTGATGAACGAGTTTGAACAGGAGAGTCACGAATGCTCATCACAGAACAGAGCAAGGCGAGCATTTGTGCTTATAAAACTTAAAACTTTTTTATTTATTTTTGAAACGCTAGATAAGACCCTTATTCATCGTCTGGTGTCGCTTAAAGCCCTTTGAAGCTGTACTGAAACTCTCATTTGAACCGTTTGGTTCCCAATGAAGTCCATTATATGGAGAAAAATGCTGGAATGTTTCCATCAAAAACCTTAATTTCTTTTCGACTGAAGAAAGAAAGACATGGATATCTTGGATGACATGGGGGTGAGTAAATTATCAGCAACGTTTTTTTTAAAAGTGAACTACTCCTTTAAGGTCACTGTCGCTATAGTTGAGAAATTAACTGTTATGCCAGCAATAATTTATTAGGTTAGTTGACATAAAAGAATGGGTAATGATTTCATGTTGAAATCTATATGAACGTATCAGACAAAGTACATATTTTAGGTCCTGCAACTGGTCACCATTCCTCATCATTTCAACAACTCATTAATTGGAGACTACAAATGAACAAAGTGCATGAGAAAACCATGAGATAAATGAACCACTGGCTTCAACACTCAAGGGTATGTATGCCAAACCACTAGACTGCTGGTCTGGTTAGCTGGACTGCTGGTCAACCATAAAAAAAAGTAGTTGTGCACTACATTGCAAGTGTTCTGCATCCATATATACTACTGTTCAAGTGTTTAGAGTCAATGAGAATTTTTTCATTTTTTGAAAGAACTCTCTTATGCTCACCAAGTCTGCATTAACTTGATTATAAGTACAAGAACACAAACAGTTCTAGTTGTATTTCCACTTCAGCCTGGTAAGGCACGAGATGGCACGATCGCACACCATTATAGTCCCAGGATTTTCAGCAAGGTTGGCTACAGTTTCTAGTGTGCTATTTGAGCCAAGTAAACACAAGTTAATGCTAAAATTAAAAGAAATATTTGATCATCCTCAATAACACCATCGCTATTTACATCTCATTCAATTTTCAAACTCTTGTGATTCCAAGACAATGCATTTTTTATTACATTCCAAAGAGCTCGTTATCAGTTCCATGGTGGAAAATCAAACCATATCCGTGCCTGGCCTGATCGGCATGGGATGGAATTGGTTAAGCAATGAGGACGGTGAAAAAGTGGTTATAGTCACAATTTGTCGCTGCGCAAACATTTTTTCCAGCTTTCTTCCTTTTGTATTAAAAAAAACACAAAACAGCATAAAGGCTTGGACCAACATGAGGTTGACTAAATAATGACAGATTTGGGGTGAACTATTCCTTTATTCCTTCTTGGGAACTATTACAGGGACACACCATGGTCTCTGCCTTATAATTATACTCACAATTACTGATGACTCCACCAATGGGGTCTCCTTTGAAGTCAAACTCGATATCCATGTACTTTCCCTGTAGAAGAAGAAATTGTTAGCACATCCCATAAAAAGAGCATGGTGGGTTAGTTGATGACATGGTTCTTTATTGTCGTTTAACAGGGCCTTCTTGTGCAGTCAAAATAAGATATAATCAAGTTTTTAAGGTCTAAGAAGTGTGTCCCTCCCCTATGGTGACACTACAAGGCCTTTAGTACTAATGGAAGGCTTGCTGTGGAGAACCACGTGGCTCTTCAGAGGCTGATGGTAGGAAAAGACGCATGACCACGAGGGCAGTGATCACTGCAAATAGGGCTGAAATTTGAGCCTTCCATGAGGCAGATGGGAAAAAAAGACATTCCCTCTAAGCGCAGTCAATTCTCCAAGCACAGGCCTGTTCATTACACATGCTGCCAATCATACATAGATTTGCAATGGAGTAATGCACTACTGTGAGAGAAAAGGCTGTTTTTTTCTCCGCTGCTGTAATGGTAAAATAAACTTTTTTTTTTTTTTTTTGTCTTTCTGTCCCTGTACACTATTTGGGAAAGGAACAGTAAGCTCAGTGTCTCTAGAGCCAGTAAAAATTTTCCCTCTTTATTTATATCCAACAGCACTTCTGAAGGAAACTGCGTTAGAGGCTGATGGATAAACTCGAAAAATCCTCTGCCAACACAGGAAGTAAAAGCTGAAAATTGCTTTGGGAAACGTTATAACAGAGAGCTGTTGAAAAATGGTACTTGAGATACAAAACATGAAATTTCAAACGTTAAAAGTGTTAACATGGCATCTATAAGGCAGCATGACAGTCCACAACTGTTTTGATCATTCAAGTTTCAAATTTAATTTAAAACAACCATTGTTGACTAAAGTGCTGTACAAGATTACCATGGTCTAACACCAAAATTAAAATAAACATTCACAAAATATTAAAAACACAAGCATACAAATGGGTTTTCAAAAGACTTTTAAACTCAGACACTGTAGTCGCTGTTCTGATAGAGAGTGGCAATTTGTTCCATAGCTTGGGGCCAACTACTGCAAAGGCCCTGTGACCCCTGCATTGTAGTCTGGATCTGGCTACTCGTAGTAGATGACTGGTCCGTGATCTGAGCGATCTGACTGGATTGTGTTCAGTAAACTCTGAAAGGTACTAACGCTTTGTATACAAACAACATTAAGTTTGTAAGTTTACAGAAAACTAAAATGAAATTATATAAAGATGAACTAAAGTTCTACTTAAGCGGATCCAAAAAATATTCAGCTAAATGCATTTAATATAAATTTAAACTAAAGTAAGTTTTAGAGCCAGACCGATAAAGGATTTTGAAGGCCGATACCGATACAAATATTTTGGGGTTTTAAAATCTGATATATCGGTCGATATATATATTTTTTTTATTAAATGTTGTTGGATTTCACACACGTGTAAAAGAAAAGCTAACTTTTCTGCACAAGATACGCTTGATACTTTTTCTCCATGTCTAAATGTTCACTCCTCGCAAGTATAACTTTCATTTTACAATGCAGACGCTGTAACTAGAGATAACTATAACTATAAATACAGTAATCATTACTTTATTTAGGCAGAAAAGGTTCATTGTGGTTTCCAAGCTCATTAATGTTAACGTTAGTGGTCTTCCACTGATGATATTGGCATTAGCTTGCTTTGTGGTTAGCTAGTCTATGATGAGCCATAATTTAGCAAAAGATAACATCATACTGCAAGTTGTAAAACAAAATTTTCAATATAACAGGCCAAGGAGAGATGATTGAAGCGTATTTCGTCCGTTTTTATTTTATTTTTTAAATATTCATTTATCGGGCATTATAACTGCCGATACCGATATTATGGAAAATGCCTAATATCGGCCGGCCGATATATCGGTCTGGCTCTAGTAAATTTTAACTAAAATGCAAGTGCAAGTGTCTAAAAACATTAAAAGAATATATAGTAATTCGCCTTTGGCTAAGCCACGCCTTAGAATGTAGATTGACCAATCACAGCGCAGCTAAGAACGAGCTCCCACAGAGGTCTGACACTTTTTTTACAGCACTCCATTGACTTTCAACACAGGCGTCTAATGTTTTTGGTCTCGGCAGGTTATTACTGACGTAGTTTTATCAAAAATTATGGTTAAACACTGTGCCCGGGGCATTTGTAACACAGATACGCGTTTCCCAGATAGGTTGGAGAGGGAGTCCGTTCCCAAAACCAAAGTCAAATCCCAACAAGTGTCGTCTTTGGATTAAACTGTGTGGACGTCCTCATTCAGCTAAACCCAACAAAGATCAACAAGCACATCTTTTTTGCTTCTAACCTTACTGTGAAGTTATACTAGTTAGACCGTTTTATAATGTTTTAGGTTATGATTTCGGTTCTCATACCGGTTGTTGATACGCTAGCACACGCTGCTAATAAATACAACGTTATACTCGTGTAGTCCGTTTTTTACTTATACTTGGTGGAACTGAATGATTTTTTTATAATTATAACCAACATTTCTTACACCTGAGCAAACATCTTGTATCCATTGTTTGCCGCTATGCATTATGGAATAGCCTTTGACAAAGGATGCTTTTAAATTTTTCATAATAATGTAACTGCATTTGTGTTGGGATTTGGGAGTGTGTCTATGATGCCTTAAACACGCTGGGTTTTAAAACAAAGCCACATAATTAAATGCTTATGTAACACTGATGGTTTCATGTGGGTGATGCAAGAGCCAGTAAGAGTGCTCAAACAAATTTTTGTGCATTTTGACCCACGAATTACTAAAATTTAGATCAACAACAACAACATTGACTCAACACTGGTTTGTTTACCCTGTTATGTAAATTAAACAGCACCTCTGTTAAACCACTGAAAGCACTGGACAATTCTGTGTGGTCTGACCTCTGTAAGTACACACTCTATAGCTCAGCGTATGTTTATTTAGTGTGGTCAGGCCGTGACAGACAGCTATAAAAAAGCCAAACTGTCAAAGAGCCACACCATCAAACATACAGTATTTGCATAAATGGAGGAGATATTTGACTCTGCTAATCTTTGCTGGTTGTTGAATCGCATTGTGGGAGTCAGGAAATCATAGAAAAACAAGCAGAAAAGAGGCATCTGGAGGTACACAGGGTTCTGTTTGAATCTGTCAGAATTGGCTGTCAGAATGTGTCGGTCAATAAGAAGAGGAACACAAAGCAAACTCCCAAGAAAAGCATTGATAAGAGAGATCACTTTAGGGGTGGGCTAACAAAGCAATAGAATGATTTGCCTGTGTTTAGATCACTGATCAAAAGTCCATGTTGATCTAATCTAAAGCAAACATGCGCTAAAGGGAGGAGCAGCATCAAAGCAGTCATAAAATATTATTCCTGGTAGAAGAAATAGATACTCACAAATCGAGACGAGTTGTCATTCCTCACGGTTTTGGCGTTACCAAAAGCTGAAGTGGAAAAAAAAAACATGCAGCGAGTTCAGCACTACATTTCTACTTTGACTGATGTCATCTGGTGGAAAAATTATCCTGAATCCTCTCAGCGCATTTTTCATCATATTCATGAAACATAAAATAATTAGATGGCTAATAGCAGGAACAATTCCACATGTCCCTCAATAAATTTGTCCAATATAAACAGTATGAGTATATGTGTATTTTAATTAACTGTGATTTGGCAGACACTTCAATCTGAAGTGACTTTCATTGCGTTTGCTGTTTATATTTTATCAGTTCATGCATTCTCAGGGTTTTGAACCCATGACCTTGGCATGACTGTTTAAGCTTCAAGATGGTAACACAACAAATGAAAGTATCACTGTGTATTCAGATTAAACAAACAATGGCTACATTTAGAAAAGCATACTAACATATTACTGCAATAGATAGTATGCATGTATGCATGGGACATTCAGATTACCTACTACAGTACCTTTGCAGTATACAAAACAGCACATTGCACGCACAGAATACTGTATCCCACAATGTAATCTTCCATTTCAGTGACAAATAAACTTCAAAATAAGTCTCAAATTAGATTAGTTAATAACTTTGAAAATAAATTTTCTTACTTATAGATAAGTAAGAAAAAGTGGCTGTGTAAACTGTACAGAGTTTTTTTTTCTTTTTTTTTCTAGATTTTGTTTATTTCCTGTGACTTTTTCAGGCCTGGTAACATTTTTCCTAAGTTTTCTTAAGTTATCCATCAACAAGAACTGGCTCATTTCTTTCAAATCTATTTTGTTCTTCACTTTTTGTTTACCTGCTTTCCCAATATGATTTAACTGAAACCAACATTAAGCACTCTTAAAAATAAAGGTTCCAAATAGGGGTTTTCACAGAGATGCCATAGCATAGAAGAACCATTTTTGGTTCCCAAAATATCTTTTGAGTAAACAGTTTCTTTTATTTCAGTTCGTTTTCTTTTATTTATGAACATATTAGAAATCTAAATAGCATTTTACCACTATAAAAGAACCTATGTGCAATGGAAGGGTTACATGGATGTTAAAGGTTCTTCACAAAACCATAGATGCTAATAAAGATCCTTTATTTTTAAGTGTAACATGTCCCTCATTAAATAATGCATTTTTTGCTTTTTCCTTCTGAACGCCATCTCCTCAGAGTATAACCTAAGCCCCTTTCACACAGCGTGTTGATCCCAGGAAATTGCCAGAACGCCTTCTGTGTGAACGCAAACACTAGGTTGGGGACCTAGTAACATTGCCGGAATCAGTCCCGGAACGCATGCTTTGTGAACAAAAGCCAGGACCAATGCCGTAAGGGGTGTGTCATAGTGATGACGTTCGTGCCATCGCCCGACTCTGTTGCTCTTAGAAGAAAGTTTGTGTTACAAAGAAAGGACGCGCAAACGGGAACGAAGCAGAGACCAGGAGCTCCTCACTATCCACGCTGATGCTGAGATCGTTCACCAGCTTATGCGCGTGTACATGTTTTCGACGCGTACGTTACACGTCTCATCCTGACGTCGTCATGTGTCTTTCCGGGATATTTACGGGTTGTATGTGAACGCACTCACAGATCCCGGCAAATCAGTAGCAGTGTGAATGAACCGAAATCAAACAATCCCGGGACAAATGCCGGGTCACATTATACGTGTATTTTCCAAGATCTCTGTGTGAAAGGGGCTTTACATTTACAGAAAGTCGATGGTAGAGAAATATGCAGCAGGAAATGTTCAGGACCCCCAGTGTGGGGGCTCATTACTTCCAGCAGCTAAACTCTCCCAGATGTGGGACTTCACTCTGCTCAGAGTCCGGCTGCTCCATCTCCATCTCATTGCTTATGGCCATTTCCTGTTCATGGCCCCACATAAAAACACAACTGTCTGATTGCCAATAGGGACCAGGGAGCTTTTGGCCCATTAATAGGGGTAGGATTATGGGAAAATCCAAATGATATACGTCAAAAATCAAAAGATCTGCCACTCGGCTTGCCTTTAACTGACCTCTAGAACATCTGCTACAAAGGACATGGGACCTGAAGAACCTAAAGGTGTGACAATTGGTACAAAATAAAAAAAAAGAAAGAGAAAACTCACCTTCAAGCACAGGATTGGACTGAAGCAGCTGTTCCTTCACTTTGTTCACCTCCTGGCCCTTCCCACACACTGCCGCCACATATGACATCACAAACTTACTGGCCTCTGAAAAACAGACCACAGAAGAATGAGGTCAGCAGGGATCACCTTCGAGACAAGACCTCACCACCAAAAATCCCCTTTACATCAACTCACTCTGCCCATTCTAAAGGGAGAAAACACATTTCCCATTCAAACTCCCCCATTCCTTCATAGCCAACCATGAGATCAACTGTTTAAAGGAGTCTTCAACATTCCATTGAGCTGGTGCTAATAAAGAGATGACCGAACAACTCAGGCCCCGTCCACACTACTGCGTTTTCGTTTTAAAAACTGAGACCTTTTGCTATGTTTGCACCTCCAGTCCAGACTAAAACGGAAAGTTAAGAAATGCTGCAGCTCCGTTTTGCGTTTCGAATCTCCGGAGTGCTTTTTAGTGTAGACGGGACAAAACGGAGGAGTTTAGAAGCGATGACGGCGACGCAGAGGCTCACGCTCGGCTCTATGATTGGGTGTAATCAGTCATGACGTGTCCTTCCCTGATTCGTCAGCCACTGTTTACACTGGCACGCGCATGCCCAGTGTTGGTGAATGGTCACGTGATCCGTGTTTTGAGTTGTTTTAATGTGGACGTAAATCAACTCTAATATACAGATAAAACGCGGGTGTGGACTGAGATCGTATTTGTTTTAATTCTCTGTTTTTAAATGAAAACGCAGTAGTGTGGACGGGGCCTCAAATATAGGGGAATGTTTGTTCATCGATATCCAGTATAACTTACATAAATAATAATAAAAAAGATAAATTGAAGATATAACAATTATTGAAGTTAGTTAGTAGTTAGTAGAGTAGTTCACTAGTTCACAAAAAAACAAACATTTGCTGATAATTTCCTCACCCTCATGTCATTCAAGATGTCCATGTCTTTCTTTTTTCAGTCGAAAAGAAATTAAGGTTTTTGATGAAAACATTCCAGGATTTTTCTCCCTATAATGCACTTCAGTGGGAACCAAACGGTTCAAGGTCCAAAAGACAGTTTCGGTGCAAACTGTTCAAAGGGCTTTAAACGATTCCAGACGATGAATAAGGGTCTTATCAAGCGAAATGATTGCTCATTTAAAAAAAAAAAAAAAAAGTTTAAGTTTCAAAATGAACAAATCTTTTTCCGAGTCAATTCGTTCATTTCGTTCATTGAATGAACCAAACGACTCGAAAAAAGTCATTTTGATGAACGAGTTAGAACAGGAGAGTCACGAACGTGCACCACAGAACAGAGCAAGGTGAGCATTTGAGCTTATAAAACTTTTTTAATGACCAATCGTTTCGCTAGATAAGACCCCTATTCATCATCTGGAATCATTTAAAGCCCATTGAACAGTTTGCAGTTTGCACTGAAACTGTCTTTTGGACCTTGAACCGTTTGGTGCCCAGTAAAGGCATTATATGGAGAAAAATCCTGGAATGTTTTCATCAAAAACCTTAATTTCTTTTCAACTGAAGAAAGAATGACATGGACATCTTGGATGACATGGGGGTGAGTAAATTATCAGCAAAAGTTTTTTTGTTTTTTTAAAGTGAACTACTCCTTTAAGTCAGATTTATTTCCATAAATCAGTTCAAAATATCGATTTAAATGATTCCATTTAAGACGTATTCACTGATTTGTTTGCATCCTCGTGCAAAAATGCCAACGGAAGTCCCAGCGTGCCTTAACAAATATATGTTGTCAAATATTGCTGCATATTAAATTGGTGCATATAAATGAAAATGGTTGAATTTGACTTCTTTCAGTTCATTTCATAAAAAAAAAAAAAAAAAAAAAAAAAAAACGATGTGAAAATGATTCTAAAATATTTGTTTAAAACTGTTTTAGTTTTTACATGAAATGATTTAAATCTACTTGGCACAAATGGCTGTTTAAGATTTATCTTGTTCAACACTTAATGACTTTCCCATGTCTGGACCTATGAGAGCAGTGACTTACACACAGAAGTGCTGATATGAAATGTTTTCTGAAGGGAACGACGCCCACTTATGTTTTAGAGATTTACAGCTATGTTTGGACTCTGCTCAATTCACATGACTGAAACTATTAAGCATTTTGATCAAATCTAATACGTAGAGGTAGAGTGATAATCAAGCAGATAGAAAAAAAACACCATAACTCCTCATTTCATATAGCTTAAGCATGGATCCTGAATAGGAGAGTCCAATTTAATTTATTTCTGAGCTGTGGTAGATTTTCATTAGTACAGAAGAGCATTTAGAAATGAACAGTCACCTTGACTAATAGTCAATGTTTTTCATCAGCCCTTGCTCTGTAGTATGTAGTGCGTGGATTACCACAATCCCCATTTATCTCATTGCCTTAACTGTTGGACATCCTGGATTTGAATGGTTGGCACAGTAAGATGCTCATTTTTAAAACAAGAGTTCAGTTATGCACTGCTAAACAGCTGTGGGTTTGTACAATTACAAGATAACTTCTTTCAAATGAACATGACAGAGTTGAGCTGATATTAAAAAAACTCAAGCAAAAGTTCAGTCAAAAGAGCACTATACTAAACCTGCTTGTCAGATGTACTTGCAATTCAAAAACTACAATAAAAGTGTGTATTTTATTTTTATTTTTCTTAAATCGATATAATAGGCATGTTGAGGAAGTCATTAATTGCTCAATTCTCTCTATTTTCTGTAAGGCACATATTTATTTTTTTAAAGAGGGGCAGGCACAACTTAATTACACATGATTTCTGAACAATTTGCCATTCTAAAAAGTAAACAAAGAAAAAGTATGTGATGTCTCAAAAGAGAGAAAATGAAATGGTATCCATATGTAAACACTGAATGGGAGCCAAATTAAAGCGTCAAAAACATTTATGATTGGATCATAAATTATAAGGAACATAGCACCCGTTACCCATTTGTAGATCTTGATCTGTTTCCCCAACACCGATGAACAGTTAGTCCTCTAAACTAATTTAATCCAAGATACTACATTAGATTGCAGATTAGTCCAACTTGCATACAAATTTTACTGTTGATCTATCCAGAATCTATGACATACATTTTACTCTCTACTTATCCAACAAAGACAATGCAACTACTGTAAAATGTAATAGGAGAGAGTTAAAATTGTGTTTTATGGGTGAATCATCCTTTGACACCATTGTTAAAGATTGGAGAGAATTTAGGAATGATTGGATTAAATGAATAAGAAAGAAGGAACAGGAAATGACATCATATTTAGAAAGTATTAGCATCACAATACTGAAAAAATGTAAAGTTAGCAGCATCACTACTGAAATGCTACACTTCTTCTGAAACTTTAAGCTAGAACTACCAAACTCAGACTAGACATTCAGACTGTTCAAACTCAAACTTTATGCATTAAATGCATTTATGCACTGAAAACCTTTTAAAGCTTTCTGGTCAGGCTTTCTCAAGCCAACTTGAAATTTTGTCTCAAAAAACTTTTTATCTAGTTTGTTACTGATTAGCTTGATTTCAAGTGCAAGTATTTTAAGTGGTCTTACCCGTCTTTCCTGCCCCGCTCTCTCCAGTGATGAGAATACACTGGTCTTTATCTTGATCCCGCAGGGACCGGTAGGCCTCATCTGCCAGAGCATAACTGAAAAGAGAGAGATAATATTCAGGCTTAAAGAGTTAATTGAACAGCAAATCAAAGCTTGCATTTGAAATAAGGCACATGTCTTCAGTGTTCTGCTGAATCTGTGTCATATCAGAAGTTTACTTCAACCATCTAGACCTATTATTAACATACCGATCCTAAATCGAGAACACTTTCTGATATGCTCCAATAAAAGGCATGGATTAGAGGTGGAAATTGCAAGTGATGGGCACACACCAGGGATTCAATATGTTTAAAACCTGGACAACACTACTAGGTCAAATTTATTTTCAAATGGATTAGGGTAGTGGATTTTAGGACCCAGATTTTAAATGGGACAACAAGAGGCGACAAGACGGTACCAAAATTGCTATTCAAACACACACAAAAAAAATCCTTGCAATTAAACTTTGAATTCATCTTGATACAAATTATAAATTAAATAGCTACAAAAATAGTAATTCTCTGCACAACACACATTGTGCTCAAGCCATTTTACAAAGTGTATTTATTGCATGCATGATTTGGTTTAAGAGAGTGTTCACTTAAAAATTAAAATTATGTCATCATTTACTCACCCTTCAAGTAGTTTCAAACCAGTATGAATGTATTTCTTCTGCTGAACACAAAAGATTTTAAGATATGTTTGAAGAATGTCGGTAACTAAACAGTTGATGGACCCCATTGATTTCAATAGTATTTTTTTCCCTACTATGCAGTCAATGGGGTGCATCAACTGTCTGGTTACCAATATATCATCTTTTATGTTTAGCAGAAGAAAGAAATTCATACAGGTTTGAAAAACAAAATTGAGGATGAGTAAATGATGACAGAATTTAATTGTTATTCTACTGCGCACAACAACACCACAACAGACCTGTGATCCATGTTTGGTCATAACCCTCAGGCAGTCTGTTGAATCATTTTGCAAATTTTCTTTTCAATGATAGATGCATAAACAATTGAGAAAATTCCTCAGACCAATTATATTTGTTTTGTATGATTTCCTGATAGAAAACGAAAAGGATATATCTTCTTAATTAATATGCAATTAAATTAATTCTACATAAATTCCAGAACGGTGAACAATAGAAAAGTGGGTCATATTATCCACCCAGTGAGCTCTTTAACAGTGATGTAATTGTAAAGGATTTGTTTGAAGAGAAAAAGACAACAGCAGCAGTCTGTCAGTTCACATTTGTATGAGTGGGTTTTTGGCTGCGGTAGACACTAGGCGTAAACACGTCCATTGCTGACTGACACTCTCCAGACTGAGTGACCAGCTCTAAATAAATTGGCCTAAAAACAATGCTAATTTCAACCCATTTTTTTTCTACCTCCCAGTTTCCTCCCAGTCTGTACTTCTCAACAATCATTACTCAGGAATTTTCCAAAACCACCACTAATAATAGGTCTGATTGTGAGGGAAAGGCTGCATGTATTTCCCCTCCTCTAAGTCTAGATTTGTCAGGTTCACGAGTAGCTATATAGCGTACAAAAACTCCAGAGCATTGATAAGGAGTTCCAACTTCCAAGGTTGAATGGAATTGATATAATACTTAATTTATATGCATGTTCTTAATGACCATGACAAAACTGCTGTATCTGATGTGGCATGCCATCCATTAAAACATTTGAGAATTTCACTGGATTGCCCTAAAATGTCAGGTGTAATGCAAGTAAACAAAATTTTAAGATACCATACAAACAACCATGCAATTCTTTGGCTTCAAAATCTTTCAAGTTGCCTACAGTACATAGACAGCATTTGTAAGTACCGTAGGCTGTTCCCAAAGTGTTCAGGATGATTATGCTGCCTTCTATGATGCTTTACTATAGTCAAATTCAAAAGGCACTGTCATATTAGCAAATTATGTGGGCGAAGAAGGTAAATTTCCTTTATCAATAGTGTAACGATGCATGAAGCACCACTTACACAGAGGTCGCTTCCAAACAAAGCAGCTTTATATTGGTCATCGCTGAGAATTCAGGTATTCAAATCTTAAACTTGAATCTGATGTGAAGTTGGGGAAGTACAGTTGGGGAAATATCTCTTCTCGTGTGAAACTGTGTGGATCCACCTATTGACTGTTATAATGTTATACATCAGACCCACCCCACCAAACTGTTTACGTTCACTTAAGACCAAACCAACAGTGTTTACAAGAATATTCACCAAGACAGAAATTTTTAAATAATTCGGTGTGTGTATGACCGTTCAAGCATGCAGTCTGAGGCGTCTGTGTGTGTGTGTAAGTCAGTGAAAAAGCAGCTCATTAGGTTTTGTAATAGTGCCTTCATTTAAATATTCAACCAACTCTTAAGTATTAACACTTCAAGCAAAATCTTGAATAGAACAGACTGACACGCCAAAAAATTGCACTGAGAACTAAACCCAAAAATATGGAGTCCATCTGATGCTGGTTTAGGCTCTGGGCGGAGGTCTGGGAGTAGAAAAGTAAAGAGTAGGAGAGCCAGAAATGGCACGGGGCATTACATCAATCCAGAAACGTGCACAGAGCAGATGTTTGAGCATTGTGAGGTGGCCAAAACGCTCGACATGGCCCAAACAAAAGAGAAGCATAATACAATTACCCAAACCCTGGCAGAGGAACATGGGAGGGGTCAGGGTCCCATTGAAGGAACTTTGCCAAAATGGCAGATCTGGACGCTTTAGGCACTGCAAATCCTCTTTAAGTGGAGGCGGGTCAATGTGAATATGAATACCTTAAATCTGAATATGAATGGACCCTTTAGGCTTCCTCAGTCAGTCTTACTAAATGTAACAAAAAAGACAAGCACTCTTCCAATGACAAAAGGGAGGAGACACGTGTGTGGTATTTGTCCTGAACCAACTTTGAGCTAAAATTGAGTTTTGGCTTGCATTCAAAGACCAAGGAATCATTAGATGTTCTTCGCAACGTCTTCATGCCCCGCCTGGGGCCACACCATGTGCGGAGAGAGAGGAAATTAAGAGTAAAGTGAGAACATCTGCAGTTACATTTAAATTTTCTGTGAGATTAACAGAAGGTTAGGATAGAGGGGTCAGTTTGCCAAGTCTGCCGTACAAAAGAGAGATATTTCTAGACTAGAGTATGCATGCATCACTGAATAATATAAGACTTGGAGAGATGAAATCTGTGGGCTTGGAGTATCCACATCTGACCAAGAGCTGAATGAGAACTTCAAGATGAATGGAGGAGGGATGTCCTTTAGCACATGGCCTACAGGAGACTGAACAGTAATTTCAGATAGACTTAAGGTCGTGGTAAGGCTCAAATCCACAACATGAGCCACATAGCAGAAAATAGTTGGTTCCTACCACCCATAGTCCTACATAAAAGGGAAAACTGATCACAAGGACAGGAACACCCAAAATACAGCTGGTTCAATGCGGTTAATGTACAGAGCTTTTCTGTAGAAGTGATTCATTTACACCGTCCCATCTAAATAACATATTGTTTCTAAATGATACCACTTAATTCTTTAATATTGAGAAAGCTATATTTTTAGTAACGCATGTATTTCTTTATTCTAATTATTACAAAACTCTACTCTGAATGTCCTCAACCATGTTACAGTTCTAAGTTTATTAGTTTCTGACTAATAAACTGAGCCGTGACTTCTAAAGAGGCATTCATTTACAGATTAGCAAGAAAAATGCAGACATTCAAGAAACCTCTTTCAAAAGTATCAAGAATCAAGTATCAATTTAATTCTAGACTTTAATTTAATTATGCATTATAGATAATTATAATTATAATTTTTTAATTATAGATAAAGTAAAATCATATGTGATGTCACAGTGCTTTTTTTTGAAAGATATTTGACCATTTTTTTTTTTTAAAAACTAGACTTTAATTTAATTATGCATTATAGATAATTATAATTATAATTTTTTTAATTATAATGCTTTATAGATAAAGTAAAATCATATGTGATGTCACAGTGCTTTTTTTTAAAGTTATTTGACCATTTTTAATTTAGTATATATATATATATATTTTTTTTAAACTCACAAAAGCCATACATTTGACAGTATTTTACAGTAAAATTTACAGTTCTTTACCTATACTTAGAAGGTAAAAAACTGAGCTATTTTATAACATGCATACATACAAATAATTAAATAAAATGCCAAATACTCAAGAAATGCCACTCAACAGCTCGGCCATTAAACACATGTTTTTTTGTTTTGTTTTTTGGACAGGACAAAACACACTGTATAAAAATAATGAATTGTGGCTCAGTATGCTGGACACCACGCTGCACTGGAATAGGATATCCATATCTGCTTCTGAATGAGCCACAGCGGAAGTAATGTTTTCCAACTTGAGGTGGACTGATCACAGACACTGAAACAAACAATGGACCACATAAGCCCCGGAGAAGGAAAGGCCAAAAAAACAAAACAAATGCATTTAACCAGGTGGCCATGAACACCTCAGCTGCTCCATGCACAAATATGGCTCCTGTTTTAAAGACTTTAGTGTTTCCGACTCTACATGTACATGGAGAAGCTATTGCACAGCCTGAGAGAGTAAACATCTACAGGATGTTATGCTTTTCCATGAGAGATATGAAATAAGACCATGTGACATTCAACAGTTCAATCAAAGCGTTTTTGTTCTCCAAGTCTGAATTTAAAACAATGAAAGATATTAGGAGGTCTGCTATTATATTAATATTGAAGCCTTTAACCTAACAGTAAAATTGACTTAACAAAATGGATAGTTCAGACTTCTCCAATGTAATATTTATTTTGGGGAAAAAACACAAATTTTCAATTTGCTGAGTGTTTTTAACACAAATGTTACTTGTTGCACATGTTGTGTTGAAACAATAGAGACCTATACTTGGGATCCCCCTCCCATCATCCCCTTCACACATTCAGGAAGTAGCAAGTCGGGCTGTTTTTAGTCACCCAAAACCGGATGACTTTACTGCTTCCCTCTATCTGCACTGACTCAGCTTTCCTGACGTCTGTGCACTGTATGTTC